CACCTCCGGGACAGACACCTTATTTCCGGGACTGTCCCGGACATTCGGGACGTTATGGCATGTATGACTATACTGAACTTGCTTTGATCTAACTTTACAATTAGTTATATCATTTTATCAAGCTATATAAACATGTTTTTCCTTTTTCTTTTTACATCTACATCTGGTGCAAGAAATAGTTATAAACATTTAAAATTCACTTTACATGTATATAAGGGCTATCCCAAAGAGATGCATATTAATCTTATAAAATATAATCAATTCATAAACATGAAGTCCATGCCCACTTTACATGCAGTTTCATACATTCTATAATATGGATTTACAATAATACACATTTCAAACATTGAAGAAAAGGAATATCAATGCAAGCTGCAATGAAATTTTTACATCTAAGTGATGTTAGAAACTCTAAACAAGAAGGCCAAAGTGGCCTTATATAGCTCACCAAAGACTGATTACTAGAAACAGTCACATGAAGAAAGTGCAATATGCCAAATATCTAAACTCTGGGCATTCTGGTTTCCACAAAATCTAAAAATGTCTTCCTTGAAGTCTATATAAACATACCTTGAACTTAGTAGGCCAATTTTTACCATAGAGACACGATTAAATTTAATAATATGAAGAACCACAAGGTGCTATGCGCAAAAATTTAATGTCGTTGCTCTTGGCATTGTAGTTTCTGAGGAGAAGACATATTTAGATCTACTATGTAAGACTATTAACTAAGCAAGTAAGGGACATGCCTATGCTTAAATACCTCAGCTCTAGGCAATGTAGTTCCAAATGATTCAAAATGTATTTTCTGTTGTAAGTGTATATACTAAGTGATCCATGGGGCAGTGCCAATTTTAACCTCAAGGGCTTGATTTATTTAACTTTTGTTGAGGACCACAAATAAATACTACATTCAAGATACCTAAAAAATTAACTTTTCACTTTTGGATAAGTAGATTTTATGACATCTTTAAGTGTCTTGTGTGTCAGCCAGGGTAGGGTCTTTCATGACCCCATGGACATGATCTAACTTTTGTAAAAGGACCAAGAGATGATGCTACAAGCCAAATATCTAAGCTGTGACAGTAAACATAGTCTCTGAGAAGATTTAAAAGACTTTATTTGAAAGTTTATTTTTATGTTGGCAGCTTATTTATTTTTTAAATGTACTAGTTGTCGAACATTTTTATCTTACATTGGTGCCAGTAATATTTGCCAAAAGAAGACTTTATGCCCCAGTATTAATATTTTAGTGCATTTGGCGCCATAGGTTAACTGGTTAGGGACAGCGGGACCTAGTCCTTCATTGAAAGACATTGCATTTTCATTTTTTTACATTTTGACGTTTATCGGAAAATGCGAAGTCTTTCCATAACTGGCTAATTTCCCATAGCACAAATCGACATGCTTCTCGAGTCGATTTGAATTTACCGGTAAATCACAACTTAAATGTTTTTTATCACAAAAAGCAATTGATTGCATAAAAGACGGAGGCATATTTTCCCAAAAACTGTAAAAATATGCAATAATTACTCACGATAAGTAGTTTATTTATCCATATATTTAAGGAGACACATGAAAGACAGTTTGCGGTGACCCCCATATTGGAAATTCCCGGTCATGCTGTGACGTCACTCAAAAAACAATAGAACGAAATTAGTCTGAACGAAAAAATTTTCTGTTGTGATTTAAGACGCTGACAGGTGCGCGCAGTAAAAATTTCGTCTAAAAAATATGGTTCCAGTAATCACCGCATTGCGTAGTACACACAATATGGAGGCTGTTTACACAATTTTTACACGGATTTGTTTTAAATTGTTTAAAATTTGAATAAGTTGATTTTGATAAGGAAAATACACATTTTTGGTAGGATTATGATTATTTGTAACATTTTACATCGGAAGTTTGAATGATTTTGCATGTTTATTGTTTTTCATTTTGCTATGGATTTTTAAATAGATATCTTTAGACGTTAAAGCGGATTTGACCCATGTAAAAAATAGCTTCAAATCCGCGGTTACCTCTAAATATTTGGACTAAGCGGGACCCTGCCTAATTAATTGTTTAACGGTTTGACCCATTTACTAACTGCTCTTTCTACTGTATAATGGTTATTTTTTAACTATCATTATTTTGCACAAAAACTGTTGCAAGTTTGATACGATTTAATAAATATCTCATAAATGTATCTTTATTCATTTTATTTCAAATTTAAAACAAGTAAAATGTCTATTCTTTCATTTCTTATAGACGCCATTTTTATATCAAAACTTTGTGATTCTACCACACTATAGCAAAAACTAAATTGAAAAGGTGTGCAATTTTTATTTGACAAATAAACTTCTGTTTCCTGATAATGTCTTTGATTCCATGGTACAAAAGAAAGACAACTCAGTAGAACCTGTCAGAAATTCCCACATCAGTGAACTTTGTTGTCAGTAATTAACATCAAACTTATCACATTTGCTAATTCAACATTTTGAAAATATAATCTTCATTGAACTCATTTATCGTCAGAATAAACAACATGTATACATCTTACCGGGTAAATTCAGTAAAGCACGACTCTGTTCCTGTCAATAATCCACCAATAACAACCAATTAACCATGTCGATAAGTCACGTGATTTAAACATCCGGCGGCGCGATGATTTGAAAGTAATTGAGGGTCGGTCAAAATATTAAAATGTACTTTAGGGATGTCTAATTTAAATCATTATTTCGACGCTTTACTAGTTACAAAGGATGGCATCAAATACTTCAAATTTACGGCAAAGGAGACTTTGCCTTTAGACACTTATCTATACTGTTATTATAATACTGCTGAGTGCACGTTTGTAAGATCGCTTTTCATTGGATAGTTGCGATGTGTATATATAAGTTATGTAAACACAACTGCTGTCAATTTATGAAATAATTTCATATATTTAATTTTTCTATTTCAAATATAGGAAATGTACTGTATAAAATATACACCTAATTGCAATAACTGATTAACTCCTATTGAATTTAGAATAACTTATTATGTCATTGCACTAAAGTGACGATATAATTAACCCTCGTCTAGAAACTTGGGTTATATATGCAAACAACCATTTATATATAGTGTATATAAGGCCATATAACCTGTCAAAAAATCTTTATAACTATTGATATATACATACTGACTGCCTTTCTGGGAGGACTGAAAAGGGGAACAAAAGATCAAATTTTATTGATACAAAATTAACAAAATTACCAAAAAGAAATGGAAAGGAATGTTTAGTGACTTTTGAGGGGCCATGGAATGCATTAAGTACATACTGCTATGTAAAATGGCAGTCCTAGATCTAAAAAAACAAAAGCATCAGGGAAAAAATGTATCTATTGACAAATCATCATTGAATGGTTTTGAATTGTTTACAAGGTAAGAAAATTATTAATCATAAAATATAATCTGAAACAAAATATGTATAATCAAATGAAAATTGTTAAAAAAGAATAATTTATTTAACACATATAAATTAATTTGTTCTTTGCGTTCATTTTGTTTGCAATTCTTATAAATTTTACCTTAATTGGTGACTTATTTTTCACCCAGATTTTGCATAATCTAGGTAACATGCATTTTAATTAATCATCAAAGCTCACATGTATAGCATATACAATCAAGATTAATCAAGAGACACTATCATATGTCTCATATTTATAATTTAATAGTAGACAGAACAAAAAAGTAATACAGGAACAGTCCGTCACAATAAATATAATAACACTAGATATGAAAGCTATTTTCATACATAACAGACTGTCCTTCAAAATGCAAACAAATAACATATATAAACAAGGGCCATCAGTGATAACACCTTGCCTCATAAAAGCAAATCGTATGTTGCAGCTACTGTGTAGAAGGAGACCCAAAAATCATTAACAGGGCAAAACACATTTTAATTCAAGGGCAATAACTCAGCTGAAAAAATTGTGTATTATGCACAAGTCTTTGACCTTCCAATCATCCCGTAAAGTTTCATTGAAATTGCACTAATGGTATAAGAGGAGTAGTCTTGACAAACTTCATTAACACCCTTTTTATTCAAGGGCCATAACTGGTTCAAAAAAATCATTTAAGCAGAAAACCCATGTAATTTGCGCAAGAACTTGACCTACCAATCAATCCTGTAAAGTTTTATTTAAATTGCATAAGTGGTTTAAGAGAAGTAGTCCGGACAAACTTTAAAAAATAAAAAATAATTAAAGTGCCATAACTCCAACTAAATTCATTGAATGATGAACAGCCGATTATATGCACAACAAGACTCGGTACTGATCATCCCTGTAAAGTTTGGATGAAATTGCACCAGTAGTTTTTGAGAAGTAGTCCGGACAAGCTTTTGGGTATCTGGCAACACACAAGAAAAATCTTTTTCATTAAAGGGCCATAACTTGGCCAAAAATCATTCAACCAGAAAACCCTAGCAATATGAGCAAGGACTTGAGCTATAGATCAATCCTGTAAAGTTTAATTGAAATTGCATTAGTGGTATAAGAGGAGTAGTCTGGACAAACTTTAAATATAAAAATTATTAAAAGATCATAACTCGGAAAAAAACATTGAACTAGAAAATGCTGACAATATGCACAACTTAACTTGGTACTGACCATTCCTGTAAAGTAGTCTGACAAGTTTTGTGACCGACAGACAGACAACGGAGAAGTGATCTCTATATGTCGCAACTACTCCGTAGAGGTGACACAAAAGAGATTAAGAGACTCAATTGTTCATTTACATGTATGACAAAAACTGTAAATAAATTGAGATAAATAAGCACATATGGATTTATAACAAGCAATTACCACAATAAACAACTGGCTTATCAAGCCCCTATGAACTGTTAAAAATCATATGTATTTAAAAATAGATTGGAAATGCAGAGGGTTTGCTGAAAGTAATATAAATTTAGCTTATAATAAATTGCTAGCGCTTTTGTCAATTCTGCTTTTTATACATTTTGATAGGCCCTCATCAATGTCACTGAAGCGCCAAACATTATTCAAGCGTTTGTAAGTAGTAAACATGACTTCGAAACGAGAACATGACGATGTTGAAGAAGATGACGATGATTGTATCGGACCTATGCCGGATACAGCCGTTTCAAACAAAAAACAGAAAGGTTTTTTCTCAAAAATTTGTTTACATTGTACCAGATATTGGAAATTTAATTTTGTCATCAGTTTTCGCGACACATAGTTGGGCAAACAGTTATTTTGAATAATTGACGATGACACTGATATTTAAAAAAACCTAGACCCTCAAGGTAAAGAAAAATTGAATTCACCTCGTCAAGCCATAGTTTGGATTAAATATGTCTCACCCTAGTTTTCCAGCATCAAGTTTTTAACCATTTTTAATTTTCTTCTTTTATCCTCTTTTAAAAAACTCTTTTTAACTTTCTTGCAATTTTGATGCGCAGACATGTGTACATCCCCGAGCGACATTGATGGAAGATAGATTGAAAATAGTTCTGAAATGAACTCCATGCATACGTTGTAACAATGATTGAAGAATTCAACACAGTCTTATATCTTATTTTATTATACACAATATAATACAGAGTTTAAATTTATCATCAATTACAATCTAAAAATAGCACATACAAGTATCAATCTATAAATAGATCATGATTTTTATAGCACATGTCAATACACAATTATTGGAAAAAGTCATTTATAGATGTCTGCTTCGAAGCGCTTTTATCAAAGTCTTTCCTTGCTACTTACTGGTTGGGGACCACCAAAACCGTAATACCACCAAACCGGGACGACCCTAAAAATGCCTGATTTATTTGTTTTCTTTGCAAAGTTGTTGACGACCTTTTTTATCAACAATAAATGCAAGTTCCTCCTCTCATTGAGTAATTAAATTTGTTTCAACTTTCGTAAATTGTGATATATTTTAATGTGTATTTAAGGAACGTTGATGTTGGAAATTTGGGCGTCAAGAGTGCAATGCCTGACCTCTTATACTAACTATAATAATTTACAGAGTAAACAATAGAATATCCCAATCTTCAGCATTTGCTGCTGATGTATTGCATATCATATTAAAAATTTAAAATTAAAACACCCAAGCTTTTATCTTAATTTAATTATTGTCATTTCATATCTGTCCGGACACATGGTACTGTATGATGTTCAATTAAGTTAATTTAGATACCCTCCTTGACGGGCTTTAGATATAAGTGTCATAACATAATCAGAACTAAACAAATTGGTTTGTTAGTTAGGAGAAGAAGCTAGCTGTACTGTGTCACATTTTCAGATCTGTAGCTTTGAAATTATAAATTCTGTAAGGAAAAATGTTCAAAAAGTGTCTGGTTGATGGTCCCCGACCAGTAGTGATTTATAAATCAAGCACATCAGTGTCAGTTCAGAGTCAGCGTTGCTTTGGCTCTCAAAAAAATGTTCTTAATGTTTCACAAGCTTTCAAAGCTTCCCCAATCGTTGGTGGTACTGGGGGTATTGGTTCGTCATCTTCTTCCGTTTCTGTTGGGTCACTTTTGGTTGAGTTCCTTGCCGAAACTAAATCCTCAATAATATCTCTATCACATGTTTCCGAACACACACAGGGATATCTAAATCAATGTTCGTGAATGAGTTAACGTTGTTTTTTTCCATCTTGAATAATTTGACGAGTCTGGCGATAGGGATGTTGTCGTCCTTGTTGTCCGATTTATCTTCAACAGGCTGTTGGTCTTGAAATTTGAAGCCTGCATGTCTGTAGCAGTAACTGATTGTTTGGGCAGTAACCATTGACCAAGATTTCTTAAAAGAAGTAACGCGTCTAACACATTCAACACTAAATCCATGCGATTATCAATAGCCACCAGTTGTTTTTGGATCACTTGACGACGGTAATGTACTTTTAAGTTTTTGATAATTCCTTGGTCCATAGGTTGAGTATGACTGTTGGTATTTGGTGGTTAAAACGCAAGTTCAATTGATTTGAGTCCTTTTATTTTTGGATGCGCCGGACAATTATCAATCACCATAGCCACTTTTCTGTTCTGACGATGAAATTGTTTATCAAGTTTCATTAACCAGGATGTGAATAGTTCCCCTGTCATCCATGCTTTTGTGTTATTTTTGTATTCTACGGGTAATGTCTTTACATATTTGAAACAACCGAAAAGGTGTGATTTTCACTATATTTCTATTCGAGGGACAGGACGCCCTGTTCGAGAGTTTGAGCCATCAGTGTTCGAGCGATCTGAGGTAGAACAATATATGTTATATAGGAAATTTGCCGGGACCGGACGATGAATTCTAGCTAAGAGAGGTGTTTGAGCGAAGGAAGTTTAACTTTATCTATTTACAGATTTGATTCATAGTTTGACAAATCCACAGTTATGACACAGCATGTTGAATAATTCATTGATCACCTTGAATATCAAGATCATATTATTCAATTTTGCTTAATAATAAATTGTTATAGCATTATTACTTTATAATATATTTATAGTTTTGATTCCTGTTTAGACAAACCAACATTTTTTTGCAAAATCAACATGTTGAATTATTCATGTTTGACAATGATCTTAATGACATAAACAACATTTATGACATGTTAAATATTTCAAGTATTACATTGAATGATTTGTAAATAATCTTGACTGTCAAGTTCAAATATAAATTTTTCAGTTTTCATTAAATTCTGAATAAAAAAAACAACTTTTTAAAATATTCCTTTACTACAATATTCTTCTCGGATGTATTTACCTTTGGAAATAAGAAACAGTAAAGTGTGGCCCTTGCTTAGCAGGGGCTCTTGTTATTTCATATCTATAGCACCTGCTTTCCAATGTATCTGTAACTCATGCACAGCTTATTAAGACAGTCTTCATTTTCAGCGTTGTCATATCATTAATTATAATAAATTGTTATACAATGTTTATGTTTCAGTGCTTGAGTTTGAGAAGTTGTATTTAGAGAATTTACCTAATTCAGACTCATATGAGAAGAGTTATATGCACAAAGATGCTGTCAAGTTTGTTGCTGTTACAAAGTAAGATTTGGAAAAAAATGTATAACTATTTGTGTAATTTGTATAAATTAACTCTGTATCTTACTAACATTAGAAACATATCAGTCTTTATCAGCTTGTCTGTTTCAAAGAAAAAGTTGAGCTGTTGTGATTGTAGTGCAAAAACTTTAATGTAGCCCATTTCTCAATCAATTCTAAAGGTATCAATATGAAACATGAAATACTTCCTTATTATGACAAGGTGCAGTTATAAGACAAGGTGCATAACTCTGAAAGCTATAATTTTGGAGTAATGCCCCTTTTTAACTTCAAGTGAGTTGCAGAAAGTCATCTTTAGCAAATGTTTATAATGTTGGCAGGTTGCGCACCTTTGTCAAAGTTTTTTATCAGACCATTTACACTAAAGTTATGGCCGTTGAATCAGTCTTCGTTGAATTATTGTATGACTAAAATGATTAGCCAGGGATGTTAGAATTCATGGCGAACCATAGATAAAATGAGTAACCCATGAAAAAAACCAAGTTAATATATTAATTACAACTGAATCTTGAGAATGAGAATGCCCTTAAGTAATTCTAAAGAGCAAGTGAAAATATACTCTGACAAAGAAATTATTTTTTCTATGAATTTATCTTATGATTGCTCACTATTATTTTACAGGACAGATTTTATTCTGACTGCAAGTACTGACGGACATTTGAAGTTCTGGAGAAAAACTGAGGAAGCTGGCATAGAATTTGTGAAACATTTTAGATGTCATTTAGGTAGGACTATTTGTTTGTCAATCTGCCATTACTTTTGACCTATCTAATTCTAGAATCTTTAACAATAGAATGTTTAATGTTATTATTATATGATGCCTTCAATTAATGTTAATGTAGCTTTGCTTAAATTTTAATGCCACTTATACAATGCAAGTAGATAGACATGCTTGATAAGTTTTTACTATTGTCATTGATATATTAGTTACTTGAGTTTACTGTGTTAATATAGGATCACTTGAAGATATGAAAGTTAGTAACAATGGTGAATTGGCATGTACAATCTCCGATGATAAATCATCAAAAGTGTTTGATGTTGTCAACTTCGGTAATGAATTTTTTTTATATGTATACATAGATATGTTTGTAAAATGTGTAAAATTTATCTAAAAAATATAGAAATGAGTTGATCATCCAACTTTGCCAGTTTTGTAGATAAAATAATAGTCTCATTAAACAAATCCAAGTAGAAACTGTTTAATTAAAAAACAACTTGGTTATATTGCATCAGAAATAGGGACTATTTTGCTGATAGTGATATCCTAAAGATAAACTGTGCCAAGTTGTAATAATATTAATTAATAATTGCTTGTTTCTCTATTCTATGACTGATTTTCATGAAAATTTTGTTCTTATGTTACTACATTGTATTTGATTGGTTAAGAATAAAAGAAAAATAGATAAATGTCAACCATTCCTATTAAATTGTTTCTTTATAAATTAATATATTATTAGAAGTTATGACTTCATTATTTTTTTCCAGACATGATAAACATGTACAAGTTAGATTTTGTCCCTGGTAGTTGTGGATGGATTTATAATTCTGGTGATGCTATCCCAGCCCTGGCAATGTAAGACTCTCTTACTTAATTGTAATTACATCATCTCCACAACAAAGTTGTGTGTTAGTTACTAGATTTATTTTGTCATTATCTTAGTATTCTCAGATTTGGAAAATAAGAAAAACTGAAAAAAGCAGCTAGTACAAAGTCAAGTTGTGTTCATTCTTGATTCTCTATCATTGCATAAGCAAAATCATAATCTTTATTATATTGAACACAGATACTTCTATGTGTACTTTTTCTGAATGCATATAGGTACAAATCTGAATGCATATAGGTACAAATAAATGTTTACGTATTAAATATTGAAATCTTCATTCTACAGTTTTCTATATACTATTGAAATGGTCATACAAGTACATTTTATGTCAATGAATATGTTAAAACATTATTTACAAAATACATGTATTCATAAAAAAACGATTTCATTGTAAGACTGTGGCTTTAATAATTATGTTTGACTTTGCTAAGAAATTAAAAAGAGATATTTGATTTCCTTGTAGGTATAAACGGAATTGTGTGCATTCTTTTAGTAGTATTTTGGTTATCTATGGCCAAGTTGTTTCAAACCACTTGCACCCCATGGCTGTGTGTGTGAATCCTGCCATTTATTTCATGTGAGGAATTTGTCTAGCTAGCTTGGGGAATATTGGTGTTTCTACCTGGATCCCTGCTGGTACCTCAAATAATGCATGGAGTAAAAATTAAAAAGTCACTAGATTCCAAAATATAACTATTTTAGTTAAATAAATAAAAATATGTTTCATGCTTTATTATTATATATTCTTGTGACATATTTTCATTATAGATGTGAGAAGGAGACACCAAAGATTCACATATATGATGGGAGAGGTTCTAATACTTCATTACATATACTAGAAAAACTTCACTATAAACCTGTTACATTGATCAAGGTTAGTACATGTATATGATTGGATAAAATTGTCTGAGATAAATTGTTTGATACTGACTTGTTTCATGACTTATTAGACATGGTGGTGAAATAAAACTATTATACATGTAGTTGAGGTTGGAAACTCAGACTGGTGGCTAAGTGTGAAAGTGTTGACATATTTATTTGTTTGGAGAATAGTGTAAAGAGTACCAAGATTATCCCTTTCACAAAAAAAAACCCCCTCACATCCTCTTTAGTATACATACATTTGTAGATATAAAATACTTATACCTGGTACCTTTGCGTTATATCAAACTTACAATGTTTTTATAGTCAGACAGTGTTACTGCTAAATCACTTTTAGTAACAGAAGAATAATATTGATAATTATTTTGAGTTATAATGAAACTTTGGGCAGAACAAAATGTGCACTTAACTTGGTTAACTGTATGTGTCAGTGTAAATTTAGTGTCTTATTTTACTTTAATAAAGAGACTAAACTTATTTTAGGGTTAATAATGCTTGGCCAATAAATAGATTATCAAGAAAGTAAAAAAAATTATACATTATTTTTGCTATAACTTTTAAACTGTGTTCAATCAGATAATTGCTCTAACTTTTAAACTGTGTTCAATCATATAATAAATGACATTAATTGAGTGATTGTTTTCTTTTTCTCAGTATAATCCTGTATGTGATCTGGTATTGTCATGTGACAAGGCAGGTATGTTAGAAGTATGGACGGGACCTAAAGGAGACTATAAGTTCCCTAAAAATCTACACTGGGAGTACAAGACTGACACTGATCTGTATGAATTTGTTAAAGTAGGTATTTATAACTCAATCACATTATTGATGAAATGCATGAACAAAAATGTGAATGATATTGTTATCAGTTTGGCTTGTAATAGGTTCTTTTGAAATGTAGAATGAAGTCTATCATCAAGTTGGCATTAAGTTCCAATATTATTGTACAAAACATTGATGTCATACATCATGATTTATTACTAAGTCCTCATTACATAAGAAAATTGGTCTAAACATATATACAAATGTATAGAGGATATTGAATGAGTGTAAGTCATTTGTAAGTTCAATACTGAATAAATTCAGTAATTAACTTACACAAATTTAATATTCTATTTATCACATACCCAAAATAAAGACCGTTTAAAGTGAAATAAGAGTCATTTTTCATTGACGCGCCTATAGTATAACCCTAACATTTAGGGCGTCTTTACACTATGTTTGTATAACGCTAATGACGTCACGTCAAAATATATGCACAGCCGTGCAATACCATATTTACGGAGTCGCAAAATCGGCATGGGTGTGTGATAAATATATTTTCTGGCTTTTCCATCCTGAATTGTCCTTATTATGACAGAAATTAATATGATATGAAAGTTCAGAAATGAAGTTTGTTGTAGAAAAAATCATTTAAAGGTTTAAATCTTAAACATGTAGGAATTGAATTTGTGCTTTTCTTAAAAATATGCCATTATATTGCTCATTCTTAGATTCATTTTATTTTTGTCCCCAATCTAATAAAAAGAATCATAACATATATATAATTATGCAGTGCTCTTTACTCATTTGAAATGATTTAACCTATATTTTTATAGTGCAAGTGTATGCCAACAGATGTATGTTTTTCCCCAGATGGTAAAAAATTTGCAAGTATATCCACAGATAGAAAAGTGAGTTCATTTCCAAATTCATTAGTCTTTAGATAATTAATTTGATTGACATAATATTATGTTTTAGCAAATTTTTGAGATATGCAATGATTTGAATACTTTGTTGAAAATATAAATGTATTCACGGACAGTGAATTAAATGTTAGGCTGATCTGTATCTTGTTCTATTGGATTTTTAGCTTGACTTACATGAAGTAAATTGAAAGCTGTTCTACTCCTCCTTTAAGATTGTTGTCATAGGAATTTCTGTTGACATTATCTGTTTCTGTTATTCATTGTCATGCATGTTCTGTGTTGCAAAGAAGTTGGACATTTGAGCCGCGTCATGACAAAACCAACATAGTGCGTTTGCGACCAGCATGGATCCAGACCAGCCTGCGCATCCGCGCAGTCTGATCAGGATCCATGCTGTTCGCTATCAGTTTCTTTTTATGCCCCCGCCATATAATGGCAGGGGCATATAGTGTTACCCTGTTCCGTCATTCCGTCATTCCGTCCTTCCGTCATCATCAGTTTCCGTTCATTATCTTAATAACCCTTGCACATATTGAACTCAAATTTGACATATGGATATGACATATGGATATGTCATGAGAAAATACAGGTCAAGTTCGAAATTGGTCATGGTTCGATGATTTTTGGCAGAGTTATGCCCCTTTTACATTGAAAATAATATGAAATTTTCAGTTTCCGTTCATTATCTCCCAAACGGTTCAAAACATTCAATTCAAAATTGACATATGGATATGTCATGAGAAAATACAGGTCAAGTTCGAAATTGGTCATGGTTCGATAATTTTTGGCAGATTTATGCCCCTTTTACTTTGAAAATAATATGAAATTTTCAGTTTCCGTTCATTATCTCCCCAACGGTACAACACACTCAACTCAAACTTGACATATTGATATGTCATGAGAAAATACAGGTCAAGTTCAAATTTGGTCATGGTTCGATGATTTTTGGCAGAGTTATGCCCCTTTTACTTTGAAAATAATATGAAATTTTCAGTTTCCGTTCATTAACTCCCCAATGGTACAACACATTCAACTCAAACTTGACATATGGATACGTCAAAGGAATGCGCAGGTCAAGTTCAAATTTGGTCATGGTTCAATGATTTTTGGCAGAGTTATGCCCCTTTCACTTTGAAAATAATATGAAATTTTCAGTTTCCGTTCATTATCTCCCCAATCGTACAACACATTTAGCTCAAACTTGACATATCGATACATCAAAGGAATACGCAGGTCAATTTCAAATTTGGTCATGGTTCGATGATTTTTGGCAGAGTTATGCCCCTTTTACTTTGAAAATAAAATGAAATTTTCAGTTTCTGTTTATTATCTCCCCAACAGTATTAAATATTCAACTCAAATTTGACATATTGATACGTCAAAGGAATGCACAGGTCAATTTCAGATTTGGTCATGGTTCGATGATTTTTGGCAGAGTTATGCCCCTTTAACTTTAAAAATAATATGAAATTTTCAGTTTCCGTTTATTATCTCCCCAACAATATTACACATTCAACTCAAATTTGACATATGGATATGTTTTTGGAATGCGCAGACCAAGTTCGAATCTGGTCATGGTTCAATGATTTTTGGCAGTGTAATGCCCCTTTCACTTTGAAAATGATATGAAATTTACAGTTTCTGTTCATTATCAACCCAACAGTGTTACATATTCAACTCAAAATTGACATATGGATATGTCAAAGGAATACGCAGGTCAAGTTGGAATTTTGTCATGGTTCGATGATTTTTTGGCAGAGTTATGTCCCTTTCACTTTGAAAATAATATAGATACATCTTAGGAATAAGCAGTTTAAGTTTGAATTTGGTCGTGGTTCAATGATTTTAGACAAACTTATCTTTCCTGAATGTTGGAAAAATTTTGAACTTTCAGTTTCAGCACTCATACTTTTGAGGAAATGTATATAGCCATTATGTTGGCTACACATATGCAATATGCTATTTTTAAAAGGTTAAGACTGAATAATTTCAGTGCCTTGAACATTGTATAAAAATGGTTAAGAGTGAATAATTTCAGTGCCTTGAACATTGTATAAAAATGGTTAAGACTGAATAATTTCAGTGCCTTGAACATTGTATAAAAATGGTTTGTAATACCATTCAAAAGTTTTAAGGGCTTTGAACTTAGAATGAAAAAAATAATTTGTGCAAACAAATTTGGAACTAAATATTATAACATTTGAAATTTTGGCTGCATGCGGGGGCATCCGTGGCATGATGACACATTTCTAGTCTTATTATAGAATCCGTAAGCGAACAGCATGGATCCTGATCAGACTGCGCGGATGCGCAGGCTGGTCTGGATCCATGCTGGTCGCAAACCCATTATGTTGGTTTTGTCATGACGCGGCTCATTTGTGTTTTTGTGTCGCCTTGAAAAGGTGACATATAGGGGTTACTTTTCGGCGGCGTCTGTGTCGGCGGCGTTGTCGGCATCGGCGTCCCCTAAAGCTTGTCCGAAGCATAACTCAGTCACTATAAGTCTGATTGACTTCAAACTTGGTATGCATGCTTCTTTCAATAACCCGGAGTGCAGTGCACAAGGACCGGTACTCTGCAGTTCTTATTTTTAAAAGTTATTGCCCTTTGTTAATTTTCATACTTTAATTTTGTCCGGGCCATTTCTCTTCAACTAAAAAAGCTATGGACTTGAAACTTCATAGGATGATAGATCTCATTAAGAAGAAGTGCAGAGCACAAGAACCGGTACTCTGCACTTCCTAATTTTTGAGTTATTGCCCTTTGTTAATTTTCATACTTTATTTTTGTCCGGGCTATTTCTCCTAATGTATAAAAGCCATGGACTTGAAACTTCATAGGATGATAGCTCTCATTAAGAAGAAGTGCAGTGCACAAGAACAGTTACTCTGCATTTCTTATTTTTTGAGTTATTGCCCTTTGTTTATTTTCATACTTTAATTTTGTCCTGGCCATTTCTCCTTAAGAATAAAAGCTATGGACTTGAAACTTCATAGGATGATAGATCTCATTAAGAAGAAGTGCAGTGCACAAGAATCGGTACTCTGCATTTCTTAATTTTTGAGTTATGGCCCTTTGTTATTTTTCATACTTAATTTTTGTCCAGGCCATTTCTCCGAAAGTATAAAAGTTATGGACTTGAAACTTCATAGGATGATAGATCTCATGAAGAAAAAGTGCAGTGCATAAGAACTGATACTCTGCATTTCTTATTTTTTGAGTTATTGCCCTTTGTTGATTTTCTTACTTTATTTTTGTCCTGGTCATTTCTCCTCAAGTATGAAAGCTATGGACTTGAAACATCATAGAATGATAGATCTTATTGATAAGAAGTGCAGTGCACAGAAACTGCTGCTCTGCACTTATTATTTTTTTAGTTATTGCTATTTTTCATATTTCATTTTTGTCCTGGCTATTTCTCCTAAACTACATTGTTCACAAGGCGACACATCCGACTCGCGGAGTTCTAGTTTCTTGATAATGATACCACAATATATTTATATTATAATTGATTTTTTTTTACTAAGTCCAGTATTAAATTAGTCGAGCACACTGTCCTCTCTGACATCTCTTGTTTTACCACCTATCACTAATACTAATTCAGTTACTTTTAGCTTTTCTGTTCTATTATGTAGGTTCGAATATTTAAAGTTTTGACTGGCAAGATGGTGAAAATGTTAGACGAATCCTTGCAGAATATCATAGACTTACAACAGGTATATTTTGCTGATTTTATACCTCACTTTAGTCTAAAACAATAAGATCTTATTACAAGAGATAAGATATTATGTCAAATAAAAACATTTCAAACTTTTCAACATGAGACAAAAGAAAAAAAGATGACTAGTCAACACTGACTATTTTATGTTATTTACTGTACATGCAAATAACTGCTTTGATGTGTTAACCAAATTATTTATTGGTTACCTCCCTTGTACACTGAATGCATTAATAATATGAGTAGTTACACCATTATCATAATTAAACGCATGCATAACAGATAACTGGAAATAAGGTAATAGATAAAAAAACACTTTTGTTTGGGTTAATAAAAATCATATTGCAGCATATATAGCATTTAGTCAACCCTCAAATGGAATGTTACACCACTGCTCTATGTTTAAGTGACATACTGTTCCAGGACTGACACACTTTTATGAAACAAGCATTATTTTAAAATGTGTTAACATTCCAAATAATTTATGATCTAATGTTCCAAGTTGCCACACAATGAATGTTTTTATAAACCTGTGATAACTGGAGGGGGAATGATCATCATGACCCTCTTGATAAACTACATGCTTTTCTCAATTTGACTGCTGGAGACAGTAACAGACCAAGTGACTAAGTAACAGACCATGTGTCTAAGTAACAGACCATGTGTCTAACTAACAGACCATGTGTCTTAAGTAACAGACCATGTGACTAAGTAACATACCATGTGACTAAGTTACAGACCATGTGACTAAGTTACAGACCATGTGACTAAGTAAAAGACCATGTGACTAAGTAGCAGACCATGTGACTAAGTAGCAGACCATGTGACTAAGTTGCAGACCATGTGACTAAGTTGCAGACCATGTGACTAAGTAACAGACCATGTGACTAAGTAACAGACCATGTGACTATGTTACAGACCATGTGACTAAGTTACAGACCATGTGACTAAGTAACAGACCATGTGACTAAGTTACAGACCATGTGACTAAGTTACAGACCATGTGACTAAGTAACAGACCATGTGTCTAAGTAACAGACCATGTGTCTAAGTAACAGACCATGTGTCTAAGTAACAGACTTTGTGTCTAAGTTACAGACCATGTGACTAAGTAACAGACCATGTGACTAAGTTACAGACCATGTAACTAAGTTACAGACCATGTGACTAAATAACAGACCATGTGACTAAGTAACAGACCATGCAACTTAAGTTACATACCTTGTGACTAAGTAACAGACCTTGTGTCTAAGTAACAGACCTTGTGTCTAAGTAACAGTTTATCCCTACCTGCATGACTTAACTGGAATGTAAACAGTTCACTGTGTAATATTTAGAGTTTTAACTTGAAATAATGACCAGTTCCATATGAAAAGTAAGGCCAGTGAATTACTCATATTTAGCAGGGTTTACATTAATCATATATAAATATTGATGATAATTTATTTGTAGATGAAGCAACAGTTATCTCATATGGAGTTTGGGAGAAGACTGGCTGTAGAAAAAGAATTAGAAAAAGCTGACTCTTTCCATTTGTGCAATATTTGTATGTAGATTTATTCAGTTCTGTAAATTTGTTTTATAATATCCATTAAATTTATATCAATTTATTTTTTATAATATCCATTAAATTTATGTCAATTTATTTTAAAATATTCATTAAATTTAATTATATGTATTTGTTTAATATTTATTTGCATGTCTAGTAAAATAAAATGCATTTCATTGAAGGGAGATAAATATTGATTGAGAAGAATGTAGAAATGTTTATAAGTGTGTAATTTTGTGGTTATTTCAACTTGCATGAACAGTAATTTCAACACCATCAGTTGTTGAACTTCAAATTTAATCAGCAAATTATTGAATCAGTACATCAGTACATCAAAGATTGATACTAAACCAGGAATTAAACCGACATAGTTATGTTAATAATTTTAATGACATTCATTTTAAGACATTGATGATGACATCTTGAGGCATATTTGTTTGAAACAGAAGATTCCTCTGCTAAGTACAATGTAGTATTTGTGCATAATGAGAAATCATGATTGTGACCCAATTGGTGGTCAAATCATCAATCTCTGCAGATACTTTACTACCTTTAGAGGCTTCTGCTGCACTATATTATAGTTTTTAAAAAGGTTTATGTCATTTCAAATTTTTTGCCTTGTCTTAAAATATATATTTTGAACAATGAAAAACTTAATTATACAGTACATAATCATTGTATGTTATCTTGTTAGCCTAACGTAACATAATGCTAATACTGAGAACTTGGTGTTCAAGGTAGCTGTAACTCTATATGTACAGAAGGAAATGTTTCCAAATAGCATCTTATCTTAAATATGATTGTGTATGATGTTAATTTTGTATGATTTATTTTCAGTATTTGATGAGACAGGATATTTTCTCTTGTATGGAACCATGCTAGGTGTAAAAGGTATATTAGCTGTTTTATTTTAGATTGTTTACTACAAATAAAGTTGTGCTTTCTTATGTATTTACTATTAATTTTAATAAAATATGACAATACAAAGGCCGACTTATTTCTAAAAGAACATTACAAGACAACTGTAAAAATATTAACTTTTATGTCTATGCTTAAAGTATATAAAGCTGAATATCTAGTGCCTGTAGTTTACAAAATTATTATGTGAATTTCAAAAAGAATGCCGGTGCTACAAAATATCTATGAAATTTTGTAAATGGCACATGCACACATTTTTGCTAATATATTTTTATTCTGTTTATCTACAATTTTCCGCTGTTCAGTAAAAGAGACACTATATTACAACTATGTGTATGTCAAAAATCAATCATAACATTATGGAAATAACATAGTTTAACCATTATAAAATTTTATAAAGATATTTTTGTTAGATTTAGTTTTACACCTTTAAAGACTGGCTTATAAGTAAAGTGATAGCCCATGAACATATAACTTTCCTGATAATTTTCAGTGATAAATATTCACACAAATCGATGTATGAAGATTTTGGGGAAGCCAGAAAATCCAAGATTCCTGCAGATTGCATTGTTCCAGGGTAGTGGTAAGAAAGCTAAAGCAGCCACAGATGTTTCCACAGCTGCCTCCGATAACCCACTACTTCATAGCCAATTTCTGGATCCTATCTTGTTCTGTACAGCTTACAAGAAAAATAGATTCTACTTGTTCTCACGCCGGGAACCATTTGATAAAAACAGGTATCAAATAAGCAATGGTGTTTTCTTTTTGTTTTGTTTTTCTTACACAAATACTATTTAACAATATGAAAATATTTTATTTTCTATAGAAAATTAAGGTGATACTTGTGAAAGAAACAGATGTTTTTTAAAAATTGTATACTTTAAAATCGTGTTTACTTACAGAGTAATTACAAAAATGTACTACAGGTGACATTATTTTTATTTATTTTAGTGCAGATACAGATAGAGATGTTTTCAATGAAAAACCTTCGAAGGAGGAGCTTATTTCAGCCACACAGGTACTGTACCATACTTACAATACACAATAAATTGCATGCAACTGTTGTATCTAAATCCTAATGATTACTGAAATCTTTCTCCTTTGTTAATTTATGTGGAAATGTTGCCAGTAATTATAAAGAACAGGTTAGTGATTGGTTAGTACAAAGCAATCAGGGGTATGCTTTAATGATGGCAGTCTGTCTTCCATTGTTTTTCATCATCTATAATTCCTTTACAACATCTCCACATGGTGGTTTTTGACCAAACTTTACAGGAATGATCCGCTACAAATATTATATTAATGGTTCCTGTATGTCAAAATGCATATAAATCATGCTAGAGGGGATCAAAGTTGACCCTACCCCGGAGTCTATATTGACTTGTATAGCAAAATACATTTGAGTGTTCTTTTGTGAAACTACATTGCCTAGAGCTTAGATTGGCATGTAGCCTAGTGGACCTATAAAAGTTATGCCCTTTGGGGGCGAAAATGGCCCTATGCTGGGAGTGACTCAGTCACTTAGGTTATTTAGACTTATATAGAAAAATACATAAAGTTTTATTTTGTGAAACTGCATTGCTAATAGCATACTACTCCACAGTATTAGAAAACAAGCCCTATACATAAATAAGAATCTCTGTCACCTGTGTAAGAATCTTAAGCCCATTGTAGGGAAATACTCAAAAAGTAAAAAGTTGCAATGTTAATTTCAGGATGTGGCATTCACAAGAGTTGCAGATTCTTGTATTATTCATACAACAATGGGAGATATCACCTGTAAACTTTTCTCTAAAGAGTAAGTCACAACAACAATGGGTTTTATAAAGCTAATGTAATATTCTTTTTAAATTTTCTTACATAATATGATTTATAATTATTGTTTAAATTCTTATAAAAAAGGAATTTAAGCCATCATAATGTTAGATATATTGTCTTCTTGTATTCTAAAATATACAAGACTAATTTTTTACTTTAAATTTTATGTTCCCATATATATTTGAGACATTGGTAACAAATGTTAATGTTGATGATACTTTAAAAGAAGTGAAACAAAGTACCTGTAGTATTTTTAGGTAGATGTTTAATGCCTGTAATATATTTAATTTATCTCCTCGCTCTAAATTAAGGGCCTATTTATTTGGACAAGTACATGATCATGATACATTTGTATGTGTTTGATATAAAAATATTGCCAATCTCTTGTTAGTGTAATTGTGAAGTTGAATTATTGCCATGTGCATTGTGGTTTTTTTTATTTACAGATGTCCAAAGACAGTGGAGAATTTCTGTGTTCACAGCAGGGATGGTTATTACAATGGCCATGTTATACACAGAGTAATCAAAGGTTTCATGGTACAGACAGGTGATCCTCTAGGTATGGTAACATCATCTGCATTAATATTTTGTAATGAAATAAAAAAGAAAACTGTAAAAGTCATAAAACTGAGTTGCTTTATAATATTTTATAATCACATTTTAAAACCTGTGGGGAAGGTGGGCATCTTTGGTGGAGTGGATATGGTTTTTGACTTCAAGCAGCTTGCCCCTCACAGTTGAGGGTTCGAATCTCGACAGGGATTTGGATTCTTGCACGTGAGAAAGCTATCTACTTAGCACAAGGAATGTTGGTGGTTCTACTCAGGTGCCTGTTTGTGCCAGAAATAATGCATGGAATGGGCAACCAAGGTCTTCCTCCACCAGTAAATTCTGAACATCACCGTATGACATGTACTGTGTTGGTGTGGGGTAAAACCCAATCAAACAAACTGTCCCTTTGGGCTTTCTAACATCACACATAGCTCTATTTTGCATTAATCTTTTAATAATCTAGTAAAGAAGAGCAATTTTGATTAATGTTATGAAGTGAGTGCCTTTATAGCTGGTCTGTTTGAAGAATAGGGAAGGCAATTGTACTCACCCTGATGTGTCGGTGTTACCCTTTAGATAAGTTTTCTCTACAAGATGGTATCTCATTAAGTTCTGATGGGAATGGGTTGAAATTTCAGACACTTGGAAGCATAATTAGTGGTCACTGACCTATAACTGTAACAGGGATTTTGAGAGAATTATGGCCCTTTTTGAACTTAGAAGTCAACATTATCCAGGCTTTTGTTGCATGATGTCCTTCGCGCAGCTTTTGTTGATACTGAAAGTTAAAGAACAAAATATTTGCTACAATCCTTAAGATTATGTTCTTGTGCAGTTCAATACCCTCTAGTCTCCTTGTAGTTGATATCCAAGGAGTAATTACATTTTACTAAATATGATTAATTCTGTAATTAATGACATGTGAATTATATATGAAAGTTTAACTTAATTTACAAAATAAATAAAAAAAATCTTTATCAGCTTCATAACTAGGAATTTTTAGCTCACCTGTCACAAAGTGACAGGGTGAGCTTTTGTGATCGCTTTTCGTCTGGCGTCCATCTGTCCGTCCGGCGTCCGTAAACTTTTACTTTAAATGACATCTCCTCATAAACCACTAAGCCAATTTCATCCAAATTTCACAGGAATGTTCCTTTGGTGGTCACCTTTGAAAATCGTTTAAAGAATTTAATTCTCTGGTTGCCATGGCAACCAAAAGATAAAACTTTAAATATCTTCTTCTAAAAAACCCAAAGAGGTAGAGCTTAGATATTTGGCATGAAACATCTTCTAGTGAGTGTCTAATAAGTTTGTTCAAATAAAAGCCCTGGGGTCAAAATTGGCCCCGCCCCAGGGGGTCATTGATTTTCCCAATATGCATATAGTAAAAACTTAAAAAATCTTCTTTTAAAGAACCCAAAGAGCTAGAGCTAAGATATTTGGCATGAAACATTTTCTAATGGGTGTCTACGAAGTTTGTTCAAATAAAAGCCCTGGGGTCAAAATTGGCCCTGCCCCAGGGGATCATTGATTTTCCCTATATGCATATAGTAAAAACTTAAAAAAAACTTCTTTTAAAGAACCCAAAGAGCTAGAGCTAAGATATTTAGCATGAAACATCTCCTAATGGGTGTCTATGAAGTTTGATCAAATAAAAGCCCTGGGGTCAAAATTGGCCCCGCCCCAGGAGGTCATGATTTTCCCTATATGCATATAGTAAAAACTTAAACAATTTTCTTTTAAAGAACCCAAAGAGCTAGAGCTAAGATATTTATCATGAAACATCTTCTAATGGATGTCTACCAAGTTTGTTCAAATAAGAGCCCTGGGGTCAAAATTGGCCCCGCCCCGGGGGCCATTGATTTTCCTTATATGTGTATAGCAAAATCTTAAAAAATCTTCTTTGAAAAAACCTGAATAGCTAGAGTTTAGATATTATGATGGAAACGTGTTCTAGTAAGTGTGTAAGATTGTTCAAATAAAAGCCCTGGGGTCAAAACTGGCCCTGCCTCAGGTGTGTCATTGTTTTTAACTATATGTGTAGAGAAAAAACTTAAAAAATCTTCTTTTAAAAAACCCAACAAGCTAGACCTTAGATGTTTAGCATAAAACATCTTCTAATGGGTGTCTACCAAGTTTGTTCAAATAAAAGCCCTGGTGTTTAAACTGGCCCGGCTCAGGGGGGGGGGGCTATATACAGGTGAGCTACTTCAGGGCCATCATGGCCCTCTTGTTACATTTGTTATTTGTTTTTGTAGGAAATGGTACAGGTGGTGAGTCAATATGGGGTGGCGAGTTTGAAGACGAGTTTCATCCTAACCTGCGTCACGACAGACCTTACACATTAAGCATGGCTAATGCTGGACCCAACACTAATGGATCTCAATTCTTTATAACTGTTGTACCAACTGTAAGAACAATCTTAAAATTTGAATTTATAAAATGTTGCCACAAATAAGACAGCAAGCTGTCATTTAAGTTGATTTCTAAAATGAATGACATTAGTAATGATTTAGAGTGTTGCAAGTTATATTGTACTAAATGATGTATTATTTATTTTCAGCCATGGTTGGATAACAAGCATACAGTATTTGGGAGAGTGACTCGAGGAATGGAGGTGGTACAGAATATATCAAACGTGAAAACAAATCCTAAAACAGACAAACCCCATGATGAAATTTGTATTGTTAACATTGCTGTCAAATGAAATTTTACAAATCTATATACTGACTTTATATACTTAATCAATGTGTAAATCTACCTGAAAAAAATCGTAAAAGAGCAAGACTGTTTTATATCCCTGAAAGTTTTGGGACATAGTAATAATATGGTATGACCATATCTACTTGTCCGTCTGTCTGACAGTTTGTTTCTGCACAGTAACCTTTGAAAGACTCATTTGATGCAAGACTTAAGTGTATGATATTCTAAGTGCCAGCAAAATAACAATTTGTTGATTGTTTATGATTGTTATGCGCCTCAAGATGGCATAATTTATTGTTTATGAAAATTTTCACAATCTATTGATCAAAGTAGTTTTAAACAAGAGGTCAGATTAATCTTTTGTTATTGTATCACAGCTTAGAGATCTGTTCATTGAAAATGTTACTGTACAATCTTCAAAAGAGAGAAATTGCATTCATAATTACATGTATATTTAAGTATATATTTTACGCGGGCAATTATGATGTTAAAGTATAATCATATATCATTCTCTGTCAGACTGTTTATAGGATTTTGAATGACTATAGATTCAATACTATTGCACGAGCGAGCATAATATTGTTTTATTCAAGGCATTCAATAAATTTAGTATTGAATGTACATGAATTTAATATTCTTTTTATCACATATTCAATGAAAGAACGGTTTAAATTTTAAAAGAGCCATTTTTCATTGACACACATAATAGTGTAACGGTAACATTAGCGTGCCTCAATGCTTTTATAAAATGCAATTGATGTTGCATCAAAGTGTAATTACACTAGTTTAAGATCGTTTTTATTAAAGGGCTTTTAACACTCCTGCGATGTAGTTTATGTGATGAATGAAGTTTGAAATATGGGTCACATATTTATATAGTAATATGACAGTGCAACAGATGAGACTTACATGTATATATTTTTAAAGAGCAAATTTGTAATAAAATCTGAAAGAAGATGTCTTTGTTTCAATTACATTATAGAAAGAAAAATAATGAAAATAACTTACTCCAATTCTCTTATTTAATATTTCAAAGTAAAAATTTGAGCTATTGCTACAGTCATGGTGTTGCTGTCACTGCCAATGCTATCCATAAACTTTCACGATGATCATAATTCTTTTATCTATCAATGGATTGTTTTCATACTCTGACACAATTATTCTTTGGATATAGAAGACTAAACTTTACCTTGACTATTACATTTTGCTGTAACTTGCTGTATCTTTGTTATTTATGAATAGATTGTCCTCATATTTGGACGACCTTTATGACCAGACCTTCAAGTGATCTTTACTTATAAATGGCCTTTACCACGGAAGTAAAGTCGATGTACATGTATTTTGATTCTTTTGCTGTAATTGACTATTTCTTTGTAATTGATGAATAGATTGTTTTCATACACAACAAATCCTCTACAGAACGAAACTGACTGACTCGTAAATGACCTTGAATTTTATAACAGTTGGCCATATGATTTTTATGGATGTTTTATTTTAATACTTGATCATTACCACCCTTTATACAATACATTTTTGTAAATGATTTCAATTATTATTGAATTACTGGTATTCTAAAATTGGGCGTAACTCTGTTATTTAGGGATGGATTTTCTATCATACTATGATAAAATAACACCTGTGACAGAACAGATATTTTTTATTTATATGACAAAACAAACATGTTGAATTTTTCAAGTTTTAAAATGACCATGACTTGGGATCAAGTTCTTCAATTTTGGTTAATTTGTGATAAGTATGACCTTGACCTTAAAATGATCTAGACCATCAAGATTTCAAATTTAATTTCTAAATTCAGATAACTTTGATACAGATTTTATTAATACTTAGACAACACCAACCTGTTGAATAATGCAGATATGGCATTGATCTAAAAATGAATTTAACTGTCAACCGAGTACTGGTTATTACTAACACAACAACTGAAGACATAAGGCTTTATTTATATATTTATCATGGCATAAACAGTAATATTCTTTGAACTTGATAAATATTCAGGGCAATAACAGAGCCATAACTCTGTGTTAAATAGTAATATCTGGAAATGCCAATGAGATGTATGCATACTGCATAACTAATCAAGGGCCATAAATCTGAGTGTCTGACCGGAACAAGGCGACTATATGCACATCTCCTCTTGGTATCCCATAAAGTTTCATTGAATTCCAGCCAGTAGTTACAGAGAAGTAGCACGGAAACGATTATTGCTTTGGTTGTATACTGCATAAGTTATCAAGGGCCATAACTCAAAGTTAAAATGTCTGACCCGAACAAGGCGACGATATGCGCATCTCCTCTTGGTATTAAAGGTTCCAATAAAGTTTCATTGAATTCCAGCCAGTAGTTGCAGAGAAGTAGCGCAGAAACAAATATTTTTCTATATGCATATTGCATAACTAATCAAGGGCCATAACTCTGAGTCAAAATGTCTGACCCAAACAAGGCAATGATATGCGCATCTTCTCTTGGTATTGAAGGTTCCCATAAAGTTTTGTTGAATTCCAACCAGTAGTTGCAGAGAAGTAGCGCGGAAACGATTTTTGCTCTATATGCATACTGCATCATAACTCTGAGTTAAAGTGTCTGACCCAAACAAGGTAATGATATGCGCATCTCCTCTTGGTATTGAAGGTTCCCATAAAGTTTTGTTGAATTCCAGCCAGTAGTTGCAGAGAAGTAGGGGGGAAATGATTTTTGCTCTTTATGCATACTGCATAACTAATCAAGGGCCATAACTCTGAGTTAAAGTGTCGGACCGGAACAAGCCGACGATATGCACATCCCCTCTTGATATTGAAGGTTCCCATAAAGTTTAGTTGAATTCCAACCAGTAGTTGCAGATAACTACTCCGGAAACGAAATTCGGACGGACGGAAGGACGAACGGACAGACAACACCAAAACTATATTCCCCTCCCGATTCCATCGGCGGGGGATAATTACATTTTGTTACAAAAGAGGTTTCTTTGAAAAACCTTCATGCTGTGTTTTGGAAATAAAAAAACTCAAGCGTGGCCTCTACTGGTTGGTGACTCGTGTGATTTGACTGCTAGAGCCATTGAGCTTTCTAAGAACTTGAGCACCTGGGAATTTTAATGGAAATTCATTGAAGATCAGCAGAGTTATGGGCCCTTATTAAGTTTATACTAGTGTTAAACTCAAAAAAATTTAATTGCTACAGAAATGGTTCAATCCATGCACATGCTTTTCTACAAGTAATAACATTGCATTATTAGCTAATGGTTTTCTTAAGTTCAATTATAAAGACGACAAAGTAAAATGTGTATTCTTGTAATGGTGACCTGCCTAATACAGTGTTATAACGGTAACAGTACCTTTTCACAAAAACTATATATCCATTACAGGTGTAACAAATGAACAATGTATGGAGATTTGCCATGCATCAGAAAGAAATTATAAATGTCAAAACACAATGTAAAACACTGAAAACAGATTTCACCTTTTTATCAATCAATATGGTTGACAAGTACCACAATACATATACAATTTGTTGAAGAAAAATTAAAGAAATAAGAAGCCAGAGTGAACCTTTTAGGTAACAAGAGCTGTCGGTACGACAGCAACGCTCAACTATTCTTTGTGCTTGATAGTAAAAGAGCCTTGATAATGTACATGTAAAATTTTCAAAGATAACAAAAGGGCAAGATTTTTCCTTAAATCCATGTTACAGTTATAGGCCTTGGAGAGAGTCCTATTATGCTCTCAAAGAAGAGTATAAAATTTCACCTTGTTTCAATGTCTATGTCAATAGAATAGGTGGTAACAGGTATGCAAACTTAAATGTAAATTTTAAGTTGAAAAAGGGGCATTATTCTGCCAAATGCTTCATAGAGTTACCTCCTGTCTACAGGAGCCATATGTCAATGGATTTTGAAAATATTTGAGGTGTTACAAAAACTTTTAACATAAATTCTAAGTTGAAAAAAGGGCATAATTCTGTCAAAATGCTTGAAAAGTTACTTCCTCCTGTCTACAGGTTGGGGTCATGATGGTGAACAAGTGTGCAAAGTTTCAAAGCCATTTATAAGTCAATGGACTTTGAAAATATTTGATGTATTACAAAAACTTTAACGTAAATTCTAAGTCGAAAAAGGGGCAGAATTCTATCAAAATGCTTGATACAGTTACCACCTCCTGTTTACAGGTTGGGGTCACGGTGGTGAACAAGTGTGCAAAGTTTCAAGCCATATGTCAAAGGACTTTCAAAATATTTGTAATACAAAAACTTTAACATACATGATTACGCCGACACAGGCGCTCAGGTGACTACAATAGCTCTACTTATTCTTATTGGATAGTCGAGCTAAAAATATGATAACAATAATGCCATTGTCATAGCAAAATGCTCGGTTGGAAACTTTTGTCAATGACAGGCAAAGAACAGAATAAATGTCCATTTTATTAACACATGCTAGCTAATGGCTGCTGTAATTTTATCATCAGATAATACAAAGACAAGTTTACTATGCTGAAATAACTAATGTAGCAATTTGTGTTTTTATGGTAAACATGATTTTGTACATTTTCAAAGTCATTTTCACCAATTTTTATGAGCTGATTTTGTACAAGTTTAAGCATTGACCATCTTCAGGGACGTGGTTTCAGATAAAGACTGCCATTTATCATGGATTTTCTTAATCAAATGATTATAACCAATAGTTTATTCATTATTAAAATGCAACATATAAAAATACTATATTTCTTAACAAGAAAACAAAGGTTAACAACACTAGAATGTTGCAAAAACCAAAAATCTTTGTCAAAAATTGAATTTTTGAATATGAATGTGTGTTCCTATGATTTCATTGCACAGTTTTATGGTGCCCAGTTATATGAGACAGTTTTAAGAATGTACCAACATCAACTCTCACTATCCGAGTCATCACTGGACAAGTGTTTCTTATTCTTTCGTTTCTTTCTTTTATGTTTTCTTTTTTTCTTTTTCTTTCTAGCATATTTATCGTCACTGGAATCAGACTCATTTTCACTATCAGTTAACTCTGAGTCATCAGTATTGTGTTTATGTTTCTTTTTCTTCTTTCTCTTCTTGTTTACTCTCTCGTCTGAACTGTATGCCTCACTGTCACTGCTGTCTGAACCATCTTCAAGCTTCTTTTTCTTCTTCTTTCTTCTCTTATATGATCTATCAACAGAGCCGTCTTCTTCACTATCAGAGTCATCAGAACTTTCTGATCTATGTCGATGCTTCTTTTTCTTCTTTCTATGTGATTTTTTCTTCTTCAATGGTGACCTGGACCTATCCCTTAAATAATAAAAGACTTAGTTAAACAATGCTTAAAATCATGTATCGATCTGATTAACTGTTGTCAAAACTTTTTTATACTTAACATTTGCCCATTTTAAATATGGATCAGTCTAGGTAGTTCTTCATTGTAGATTCAGCCATGAATAACATCTAGTCACATTAAATGGAAGTGGATTGCATTTTTATACCAGTGATACTGAAGATTTACAGGGAATAAAACTAAACTAGTTAAAATATAATATGATTATTTTACTATAAAGGTAATACAATAACATTTGGGTTAAGATAAACATCCTATTGCATTAACCGTTACCATCATACCTTTTATGCTTCTTGTCCTTTCTGGACTTTTGGCTATCTTGTTTCATTTGTTCATCTAAAATAAAATCATTCTTCATTAGTTCTCAACAGTAGGGGGTACCTCTATGTTAATGCTGTAGATTGTCAGGTGTGAAGTGATTCAACCTAATCCACTAAACGGGGCTGACAAATCTCAGTTTGAATCATGAATCTTGTATCAAAAACAGCAAGAAATGCAATATTTTCATTTTATGTTATTATTCTGTGAGGTAGCCAATGTTTGTATGCACTAGATTTGATACAATTATATTAAGAAACAGACAATGTTTGTAGCTATAAATGAAGACAGCTTTGTCATATTTTTATTTAAATCATATATCTTTCAGGCAGCATCATTTGCTATTCTTATCACTTTTTAGATTAACTATTAATAAAATTCAATAAAAAGCAAATGTCTGTCCTACCATTACCAATATAGTGAATTTTAACATGAAAAGTAACTACATGTACATGTAATGTATAACAAGCAATTATCATAGTATTGCAAGCAATCCATAAGTCCCCTACCGGTTAGAACCCCAGCAACATTCTGATTTCAATTTTACCAGTGAATGAATGACATGAATGAACTTAAATCTTTTGAGTTCTAAGTTTGTCTATTTCACAGTAATGTTTTAAGTTTCCCTGCCTAGTAAGGCAATTATGTTTATACAACCTTGTCATATTATTACGATGTGGGATGTTAAAGTAAATCCTATAAGGAATGAAGAAGTTGGAGTAAAAATACCAATTTCTCAAAAAAAATTCAAGGGGGACATAATTCTGGAAATAGTCTTGCTAGAGTATTTAACCTTCTCAAAAATGTTGAGTGATAATAAGAAACATATATATGAAGTTTGAAGTAGATACATTAGGAAATAAAGAAGTTATTTAACCCATTACTTCATATACACGCCTTTTAACGCCTTTTTCACCCCCCCCCCCCCTTTTTGTTGTCTCAAATGATGAAAAAACGCCTTATTTAGGCCCCAAACACTTGTTTTTGTTTGAGAAATGTTGTTAAAAAAAGTGACCTCTTTTTCGGCGCGGCCCCCCAACCAAAAGATACATCAGGGGGTTGCCAGATGTGCCCCCTTCTGTTTGGGGGGTTTGAAGGGGGGCGGAGTCCCCCTCATCGCCAAGAAAATTTTGGACTTGTGAGAGGCTGTAAATGACCCCAGATTGATCATAAGGTAACGTGTAACCAACGCTGAAAAGCATTTGACTCTATCTCAATCCATTGAAAAGTTGCAGCACTTTGAAATCAATTTTGATGGAAAAAATCAACGCAAAATAGTGATTTTTGGCAATTTTGAGATGTCCCCTCGTTGCCATGGTAACAGAAAATTTAAGCCTGAGCATGTTGTTTCAAGGGCAATGGTCCAGTCAACATTTGTGCCAAGTTCAAGGGAGGTAATACTGATAATTTTTGTGCTAGAGTTGTAAACCTTGTCACATATGATGTGGTTGATGACCAGAAACTTATATTTAAAGTTTGAAGTAAACACCTTAAGAAATAAAGAACTTATAGTGAAAAAGCTGAAAAAATTAAATCAGAAATCTTGAAATCCAGGCTATTTGTTGCCATAGCAACCAGAATTTTCAACCTAGGATGTGCATAATCTGCAGACTGCCATCTACCCATATTTTATGTTTCATAAAAATATTTTCAGTACTTTTTGAGTTTTCACTGGATCCAGTTTATGTGTTAAATTTGCCATATTTTCAGACTATTTGTTGCCAAATAGCAACCAGAATTTACAACATAGGAAGAAAAGAAAAAGACGTGCATAATCTCCATACTGCCATCTATCCATATATCAAGTTTCATAAAAATATTTTCAGTACTTTTTGCGTTATCGCGGGATCCAGTTTTGTGGACGGACTGACTGACAGACGGACGGAGGGTAAACCTAAAGTCCCCTCCGGTTAAACCGGTAGGGGACTAATAATAACCATATCTGCCTTATACATGTATGTAACCTGCAATTATCAATATAAATCAGCTATTCCTGAACCAATTTAAATTTATCTTTAATTTGAAAGGATCTAATCCAACAGTCAATAAACAATTAAGCCAGGCTATTGTTGTTTTACCTTTGTTTAGTTTAACTAAAGGTGAGATAAATTCTTCATCACTTGAACCAGAACTTGTACTGCTAACATCAAGTACAACATCTTTACTGGGATCTGCTTTCACAAAGTTACGACATTGAAATGTCAGATGACCAGCTGAAACAACACAAGTTATGTTAATATAGAAATCATGTACATAAACAAACAAACTGTTATCTATCACATTATCATTATTATTATTATTATCATCATCATATATGTAGTAGTTGTAGTATAAGTATACATTAATCTATTAAACTTGCTATATTTTTCAAATTGATGATATTTATTTTATATTTAATATTTATCTCTTTTGCCTGTTGCCAGAACTACATCACTTACTGCAGGGAAAATAAAAATAAGTTATTTATAACTCAATCATTAGTACACATTTGTCTTCAAATATATTTATATTAAGTGTTTATTGTCTACAATAATCTATATGAATATTTCTATTTTGAAAAACTCACAGCAATTTCTCACAGTGACTAGCTACATTTTTTATTTATTTACTTTTCCATGGTAAATTTGTGTAACTGCTATAAATGTTGAATGCAGGTTATTTGACATCAAATGCCAATAGTATAGATTAGTCAGGCTGGCCTAACTTAACAGATGGCAATGTAAAAACTTACATGTATCTGACTACACATGACATTGTAAACACTGACCTAAATGTACAGATGTCATTGTAAAGGTTGGCCAAACTACACAGATGACATTGTAAAGGTTGAACTGACTACACAGATGACATTGTAAAGGTTAGCCTATCTACACAGATGTCAATGTAAAGGTTCGCCAAACTACACAGATGACATTGTAAAGGTTGACCTGACTACACAGATGTCATTTTAAAGGTTGGCCTTCTTATACAGATGTCAATGTAAAGGTTGGCCAAACTACACATATGACAATGTAAAGGTTGTCCTAACTACACAGATGACATTGTAAAGGTTGGCCTAACTACATAGATGACATTGTAAAGGTTGACCTAACTACACAGATGTCAATGTAAAGGTTTGGCCAAACTACATATGACATTGTAAAGGTTGACCTAACTACACAGATGACATTGTAAAGGTTGGCCTAACTATGTCAATGTAAAGGTTTGGCCAAATTACATAGGTGACATTGTAAAGGTTGACCTAACTACACAGATGTCATTGTAAAAGTTGGCCTTACTTTACAGATGTAAATGTTTGCCAAACTACACAGATGTCAATGTAAAGGTTGGCCTAACTATACAGATGTCATTGTACAGGCAGACCTTACTACACAGATAATATATAACAGACTGGCCTAGCTACACAGATGCCAGTGTACAGGCCAAACTTACTACACTGATAACATTGTATAGGCTGACCTAACTAGACAGATGACATTGTAAAGGTTGGCCTAACTATACAGATGTCATTGTACAGGCAGACGTTACTACACAGATCATATATTACAGGCTGGCCTAGCTACACAGATGCCAGAGTACAGGCCAAACTTACTACACTGATAACATTGTATTGGCTGACCTAACTACACAAATCACATAATACAGACTGGCCTAACTATACAGACTGCACTGTATGGCTGGCCTTACTATACAGATGACATTGTACACGCTGGCACTACACAGATTGTAACTGCACAGATGACACAGGCAAGTTATTTTCAAAGCAAGTGCTCCAAGATTTAATGTTACTTACCATATCCACATCTTTTACATGCTGATTTAAAACCATCAGATTTCTTCCCAAATGCACCAATACCTGTGATAAAATATTTGTTATAATTATTCCAGTCATTTGGTCTGTTACCAATTACCATTACATCAATGAAGTAGAATAATCAACACATAAATTTATATATAACAAGAGTGGTCAGTGATCACATGTGTTGCCTGATGATAGCCAATTTAAGCAGTTATATTGATGGGTAATTGGACAGTTTGTTACCTATATGTCACGGCTTTCTTTCTAGCATGATGCAGCCACAGGTGTTAGGCAAATTGATTGGTTACTACCACCCCCAACCCTTACCCACTCTAGAACCCTCCTACCTCTCCAAAACCATGTAAACTGCAGTATTTTTCATTTGAAATATGTTTTAATATATATTTGATATATGATTTTAATTTATTTTCCTTCATTCCCCACAAAAAATAAAAAAATGATGCATAAATATTTAGTAATTAGTATTTAGTTACCAATCAGCGGGCCAAACTCCTGAGGATGCAGCTACTGTGTAGGAGACACAAAGATCATTAACAGGAAAGAAGTATCTTCTATTCAAGGGCCATAACTTGGCCAAAAATCATTCAAATGGAAAACCCTATAAATATAGATGGTTAAATATGCGCAAGTACTTCAAGAGGGCATTTTCACCAGCCTGTTTAAAACAAACAGGTGACTACATTTTGTATAGCTACTTTTAAATTTAAGTTTTGGACCAAATTGTTTTTTTTTTACCTGCATGTTCAAGCAAATTCATTTCAAAATATACCAATGAATAATAAAATAACAGACAAAACAAAAAGCAGACAGACGGACGGACAATTGAAAACTATATGTGTAAACAAAACAAAAAAAAGATAATATTTAGGGGTCGAAATGTCTGGGTCCGAGATGTTACGGGTCGAAACGTCTTGCCATCCAGTTTTCATTCACTTCTTCTTTGTTTCTGTTTAATTTACCATGCATTTACTGCAATGCAAGTTACTATCTTTAAAATCAATAATTTAACATTTATTTCAATTAGATTTCTTTCATTGTGACAATATAAATCCATACCCTGCATTTCTAAATCCAAAAGGTCGCGAACGAGTTACATCCCTTGACTGATATCCTAACCATAAAATAAATTAGTCAATATTAATAACAATTAAGACAATTTGGGTCTTTAATATCTATTTTCATCTACATATTAAAACGTTTTAATAGATAATCTCATGTTATCTTTGAATTTGCATTATTTGTTTTCTTTTTATTATTTTTGTTTATGAACGGAATTTTAAAATGGCTGCGCCCATGGTCCTGATTTTACAAATTATATTTTAGCCAGAATTTAATAGACTTATGTTAGAAAAATGAGCAACATTTACATACAGGAACCTTCAACGAATGGAAAGGTATTTGTCTACAGATTACTTGCTACGAGCTAGCTTGATTACAAGTTAATGTCATAAAATAAATGATTTTTTACGAATTTTCAACACGAAACCCCCTCCCCCTGTCACAGACAGACCTTTGTTTGACCCCCACTGTATTCAATTGTCAAGTCATTTTGTTAAAAAATAGCCATTTCCTCAGGACAGGCTATCTCAAACACTCCCCATATATTAAACACGGACATTTACCCCTTGAACACATAATGATAGCTGAATATTTACACTTATCAATGATAGTGGGGATAAGTAGATATAAGGGGGAATTATCAATGATTATGTGAAAAAAAATAATAATATGAAATTAGGCAAAGCCTATGAACAGGAAAGTCATTAAAAAGTTTCTTTTATTTTTCTGTTCTAAAGGTGTCATAAATTTGTCATTTCATGCACCGCTTGGACCGTTTTCGCTCAGAACACTCGATGATTATTATTAATCCGAAAAGTTAAGATTTGTTCCGTTATCATTGCCTATTATCATTTAGTTACATTGTATATGGCAGCGACCAACTAGAACTGACACTAAAAAATTTATTGATAGGTATAGAATTTTATATATTTATTAATTGTTTTTTATTTCATTATCTTTTAAATATACATGTGTAGTCTTTAGCCGGGCAAGCCCCGTATGAAAGTAGGAAAAGCCTATGGAGGGGGAAGTCAGATGAGTTTTTTGTTTTAGAGCTTAAGATGTCCTTCAGTACTTTATACACTACTTTCATTTTCAATCAGGCTTGGCTGTTAACAGTGTTTAATCTTAAGCCAAAATGTTCCACTATTTAATTCTATATATTTTTTTTATTGTTTTTTTTTAAATTTGATTTCCTTTAAAATATAACACATAGTCTATATTCGGATGAGCCGAAGCTGGGGGCTCTCGATTTAACTTCCTTGTATGAATTAAGGGATATGAAGATTAACATATTTATTTTTGTGGTGCCACTTTAGTTAGATTTGCAGATTTAAATTGGCAATGCAGAAATTTTTCCATTACTAAGCAAGAAATTACACAAAAGTATAGTACGTCAGATGAATCACGTGTTAACTTATAATCTTTAACATATGATAAGTTTCAATGTTTAGTGTCACAATTTTCATTTGATTCTAAAAACAATGAACCAAGAGAAAAATGAAGAAAAATGAATTTTGTTTTTAGGTATTTTGTTGATAAAGGTATGATATATAATCTTGATGCACTGATGTTACGAAGCAGTGCTGCTAAGTAATAGATTAAGGATATAATTATGCACTAGAAAAAATTTTTGTTTAAGTTTTGATTGCAATATTAATCTTTTATAAAACTACTTATTGTTTTCACTTAAAACTTCATTTAAACATACTTTTTGAATTACAGTTACATTACATAACAACTCTGGCATGGATTTTAAATAAAATAAGGCCTTTAGGTCAATATTCAATTCTCATAACTATGTAAAATACATAAATTTTAAATATTTGTATTTTTTTTATTGAAATTTTCCTCTTTGTTTATTCTTATGATACCAATACTTGTCTTTTAATTCATAAAATCTTTTAAAGTTTTGTCAGTTATAAGTCCTTGAGAAAATATTGATCGAACTGAAGCTTGTCTTAGAATAAAACTTGCATAATTGACAAACTAATGAATTGATTTAAATTACCACCCTTTTCCATTTCTTAAAATGTTACATTAGCATAAAAAAATGCAAAAGAAACAACAAGTCTCAACAGCTCACTAGAGGACTTGGCAAATTTTCTCAAATTTATTATCTATTGATTGACACATACAATGTTAGTTATAATTAAAAACATTTACATGTATATATTATTTTATGAACAAAATGATTTTATAATAAAGCAACAATAATAGAGTCTGTTTGGACTGCACAGATGCAGTCTGGCACGTCTCTATACTTATGGCATTGGTAGGTCATTATTGCTGCTATTATTCAAAGGTTATTTAAACATTTATCATCAGCTTTTGTAAGTTCTCACATTACTTTCAGGTCCTGCTTATAACAACAGTTGGGGATATAGATATTGAACTATGGTCAAAAGAAGCCCCAAAAGCTGTAAGGAATTTTGTTCAGTTGTGTATGGAAGGCTATTACGATGGTACTATTTTCCACAGAGTGATTCGAGATTTCATAGTTCAGGGGGGTGACCCTACAGGGTCTGGTCATGGGGGAGAGAGCATATATGGCAAACCATTTAAAGTAAGAAAATATAATATATAATAAATCATCAGTTCTATCAGCATGCTTATTAAAATATTTATATAGCTTATACAGAGATTTTTTTAGCTTGATTGCGTAAAAACCTTTAAGCTTAAAGATAACTCTTGAAACCATTCCTTGAAGCAACCAGTACAAAGTAATGAGTATAAAGTTTCTTATTCAAGGAAACAATGGCTTGCCCCTGACAGGGCTGAAACCTACACAGCCAGCAATCCTTAGATTACTAGTTTGAAGTGCTAGCCAGTAGGCCTAATGCCACCTTAAATTTTAGTTTACAGTTTAAATAAAGAAGTGCATTATGTGATGGAATTCTTGTATACAAATTTTTTGATATGCATGTACATTTGTATATTTTTGAAAAGATCCATATATGTGTTTATGTCTAAATACTTTTAGGATGAACTTCATCAAAGACTCAGATTTGTTCGAAGAGGATTGGTTGCCATGGCAAATGCTGGACCGAATGATAATGGAAGCCAGTTTTTCTTTACAATGGGTTCTACACCAGAACTTATGAATAAACATACTATCTTTGGTAAGGTGAGTGAAAGCAGCTCTTAAATACAACTTATTGATACAAGAAAATCTTCTGTGTATCTCTTGATAGTTGGAACTGAGAATAAATATCATTTGGGCAAAATAGTATAATTTATTTGTTATGGATACATAACATAACATAGAATCTTTATTTGGCATAAAATAGGATGAGCATACATATAGCCAATATACATGTACATTCTTTTGTATATTATGAAAAGGGATAAGCATGATAACTCATGTTAGAGAGTTTGAGAAGAATGTATGTTGACTGTAATACACAAGTTAAATACTGTTACAAACATGTGCTGAATCCAAAATAAATCAATACTAGTCATCAATTCTCTCCATGTAGCACTTTTATCTTTAGATTCTGAGACACAGATATGTTTGAATTACATTATCATAATTGTTAACAAATATAAAATTATCATAGTTGTTTTGTGTTTACACATTTTCCTTCAGATATTTTATAGAAGCCCTTTCATAATTCAAAATTGGCTATAATTTTTAAAGGGGTCATTTCTAATATAACAAATGCATTGTAGGGACATTTTAAAACATGCTACATCCGTACCTTAGTTCTAATTTGTGCATACTCAACTAATTAATAATGCAATAATGGCTGAATTTTAGTGCCATCAACAAAATATTCAAAATTTATTAATGACCGAAAATGCACCAAATATTGCACACAAGGGAAACTTTCTAACCACTTCTAATCTAAAAACATTAGTATAGTTAAAAACTGTTTTTCCTAAATCTTAAATATTTTTGTATGCATAAAGTTTTATATTGTTACTTTATTCTTTTATTAAAGAAATATTTTTAACAGTTGTCTACAGTTGAACAAATGCATTTATTAATTTTGCTCTGTTTTGTGTTTTTATTATAATTATGGTGATCTGTACATATGTCTATATATCAATTACAAATTATGGAATCTGCACATAACTTATGTGTAGAATGCTTGTTCATAAAGTACATGGACTGATAGCTATGTGGATACCTTGTACATCATTATACAGGGCAATCTTTGCTGAGCAGCCCTCTGTATGGCAATATAAACCTTCTTACAACAGCAGTGTCAGGCTTAACAATACATTTAACCTCTGTAAGTGACACCTCCCAGCAATTATCAGAAACTTTGTATCTGGAAAGGTGATGCACTCTGGAAAGGTGATGCACTGTACATGTCCCTTTCATTTAGACTTAAATATATTAAATTGATGGTGTTAATTTTACGTATACTCCAAAACAATTTAAGGTTAGTCGTTTTTAGGGGAAGCTTAAAATGAAACTGAGTTACAAAGAAGCTTTAAATCCCGAAGGTTGTATTGGCAGTAATGACATAATTAGATATAGAATGAAATGACTTATTGCTATATTTACAGGTATCTGGTAACACTGTCTACAATATGCTCAAGTTACAGGAATGTGAGACTGGCCCAGAAGATAGACCCCTTTATCCAAATAAAATTGTCAAAACTCAGGTACAAAATCAATCTTGTATTACAAGTTGACATTGATATTAATAATTGTTGTTAATTGATTTGATGACTCACAAATACCGTTGATAGTTCAGTCTGAGATAATGTGTTTATTTGTACTGCTATAAAGTTCAATTTCTTCTAAGCATAATGCTTCAGTGCTCTAATATCTGCTAAAGCACATAAAATATAATGGAGATATGGTCAACTAGCAATTTTGAATAACATATGGTCAATTTTTCCTTGTTTCCTTTCTTAACAAGTTGTTGTTATCCTCTGTTCTGTACAAACCTGAATGTAAGAATCTTTTAAATGTAGTCAGATTGTTTGCTGTTGGTTTTATTGTTGATTTTTTTGGGGGGAGTTTTATTGTTTTGAAAACTGTTTCCTCAAATCCATATATACATTGTATATTTACTTGATGTTTGTTTGTTTGTTTTGTCATGTAGTACATACTGTTTTTGGCACCAGGAACATAAGCATTTGGTGGTGTCAGTGTCTTCTTCATACACAATGTATATTTTTAGGTGTCTGATACATACTAATATGTTACATGTAATTTGTTTAATGGAAATAGTGCAATTGTGTTGCTTTATTTAAAGAAATCCCAAAAAATATGGAATTTTATTGTGAAAGTGGTGCAGGTAGTGTACACATGTGTATGCGTGCAACATCAGCTTAATTTTATCATACTGTTATTTAGCAAAAGATGTTTAATATTCACATTCCTAAAATATAGCAATCCTTCAATTCTTGAGGGATTGGAGTGTTGGAAATAAAAGTAAGAAATTGATATTAATTCACCTTCCTTACCGTGTATATGCCAGACATGACATTAAAGACAATTATTACTTTGACCATATACATGTGTTTATGATACTCTGTTAGATAATTCTGTGCAAACTGTAATATATACCGATATTAGTATGTTCTGGCCAACCCATTTGACATTAAATTTCCAATTGTTGTTAGCACACATAGAGAGATTTCAAGGAAAAAAAGTTACCTAGAAGGTAATGAAAACTCTGCTAATTATTTCTAAGCAAACTGTTATATAATTTTACCAATATTATTAGGTTCTGGCCAACCCGTTTGATGATATAATTCCAAGGGTCATAAAGAGGTCAAAGAAAGATTCTGATCTAGATAAGAAACCAAGGAGTAAATCAAAAGCAACCAAGTATGTATGATTACAAGTTTGTATATTGCTTTACTGTCTTTTTGTTTGGTTGGTTTTACTTAGCCCAGACACAGTATAGGTCATATGGCGACTTTCTAGTTTTACTGGTGGAGGAAGACCTCAGGTGCCCCTCTGTTCATTATTTCAAGTACAAACTGGCACCTGTGTAGATGCACCGATGCTCTGTAAGCTAGCTGGATAGCTTTCTATCATGTAGAATGTGACCACGCTTGCGCAGCTTAAATCTACAGCAGTGAGAGTAAGTGGTTTGAAGTCAACAACCTTAATCACTTGGTCAGGATGCCCAAAGAAGTTCAAAAGATACATGTAAAATAGAGCACAGATTATCTTGGTGCTCTAGTTTAACCAGTAATTTGAATACAAATACATTTAAGTAACTCAAAGCAGGATGTTGTATTTGATTTGACACTTATTTTTATGCATACACATGTTAAGACATCAGTTTGTTGAATTCATAAAACTATAATGTTTTATCAAATAATTATAATAGTGATGATATTTAAAAAAACAACAAAAAAACAAAACAAAAACATTTTGTGTCATGTATTAGGTCATTTAAAGAGAGCAACGTACAGTAATGTGTTATTGTGTTATTGAGGAAAAAGCTCTTTTTAAGAATATCAACATTACAACTGATTCTTTTCTATCATCTTCAATTGAATATAAATATATGTTAAAGGAATTTCAAGTTGCTGTCATTTGGAGAAGAAGCTGAGGAAGATGAAGAACAAGTTACCAAAGTTTCTGAGGTAAAGTTATAATAGATGATTTAACCATCAATCAAACAATATTGTAGTGTAATTGTAAATGTCCTCCTAGCAAATTTGGTATGATTATAAAGTTCCCTAAAAGATGTTTCTTTCTTACATGTTCAGAAAACCATTAAGTCAGGTAACAAAATGTCACAGGGTGAGAAAAATGTCCAGTCTGACTAGGACTTGAACCTAGGACCTTGGGAAAGCCATTCCATGGCTGTACCGACTAAGCAATCAGAGCTTACACAACTCCCCTAAATAGTGAACAGTTCCAAACAGTGACAGAATGGTTTATGAAGGTGTTGACCCATGCTTTAACTTACCCAGATAAAGCTACATTGGGCTTTCCTTCATCATTGTTTTAAATAATTACCTATAAAAACTGAAATGTTTAATATTACCAGTAATTTGAGTTGCCAGCTGCTGTAATGTTTTAAGGCACACAAACCTTGTTAGTGAGAAGCTAGCTCATCACCAAAAGTGGTTTGTGTCCTTCTATATAGGAAACATTCCCCCATTTTAGTTTTTGCATATTATTATGCTTATTATCAGTATTATGAGGTTCTACCAATGTCGTAACACTGTCTCTAATGACTGATACACAACAGTGTGATAAATTTAATGTATAAAAATAATTGTAGGGAATGGCAAGGGTCGTGGTAAAACATCATGACGACTAATGTCGATAGTCACTTAGTACCATTAGCGTCGGACATTATCACACCACAGATCATATAACTAGAGAAGAAAGGAGGGACTATGATGTCATACCTCAGAATGAGCCTGAGTTTATAGATATTTTACTTATTAGTTACAATATTTCCAATTATAGATTGTTAATTACAATACATTTGATTATAGATTCTTAATTGCAAAACTGTTTCATTTTGTTGTAGGAATGCAGTTGTATTATATCAAATTCTTTATTCATGTTCTTTTTTTCTGCAATTTTGACATTATCTTTGCTAATGTACATTTAATCTACATATATGAGATAGTCAAATAAAAGGTTTCTCGATGTTTTTCAGTATGGCTGTGTCAGTGATTTGTTATTTGTAAGCTGCCTATGCAATATTTACATATGATATAATTTTACAGGATTCTGAAGAGGAAAAGGAGAGAGAAGAAAGGAGGGAAAATATCAAGAAAAAATTAAAAAGAGAACCACCAGAGAAAAATATTATTGTGAAACAAAATAGACAGTCACCAGAAAGTGTTTCAAGTAGACCACCAGAGATGACTGGTCAGATAGACTCAACAGAGCAGGCTCTGATTACAGGCACAAAACCAGTCCAACCATTTGAAATACCTTCACAAGCCATTACAATTGAAGAAAAACCCTCTAATAGAAGGTATGTCCAGAAATGTTGATAATTCTTTTATGAACAGACTGTGAGTTTAATTGTTTTTTTTTATGTATAACAAATATATAAAAATGAAATACATGTAGTTTATGGAAATTATATCAATCTGGTTTAAATCTTTACACTATAGGATTTGAGCAGTGTAATAGTAAAACTAAATATAATTGGAAACATTCTGGAAAAACCATATTGCAATGTTTCTTTCTACTCTTACTCTACAGAAACCATTTCCACATTACATGTATTTGGAGTGCTTTTATAAGAAGTTTCTCTATAATTTAACACACTTTAAAAATAATTTTATTTATATGAAACAAAGAAGAAAGTGTTTATATAAGAATAAAGTTTAAATGCATGACGTTACTCTAATGTAATAGAATAAAGCATTTATATAAGAAATCTGAATAAAGTATTTGGATAGGAAAACTGAAGAAAGTGCTAATATAAGAAAAACAAATTAAGTGGTTTTTATGAGAAATCGTTAAAGTGTTTAAACATGAATGAGAGCATAAAATGTTTATATAAGAGAACAGAATAAAAAAAATATATTTAAGAAAACAGAATTAAGTGTTCCCAAACAAGTTATTCAAAAAAGTCAGTCTTCTCTTTCAAAAATTTATTACAATCTTTTCAATTTAAGTAAGAATGATATAAACCAAGATGCAACAAATATTCCACCCGAATAAAACTTAATACCCTTTAAAGTTTATAAATGATTTAATAGAACAAATATATTTCTCTTGTTATACCCCCAAAAACGAAGTTTGGGGGGGTATATAGGAGTCACCCGGTGGTCGGTTGGTCGGTCGGTCGGGCGGTCGGTCGGTCGGTCCAGACGTCCGTTGCATTTTCCTTGTCCGGACCATAACTTGAAGACTAATGGTTGGAATTCAATATAACTACATACAATGGTCAAGCACATTGAGAGGAAGTGCAGTGCACAAGAACCATAACTCTATCTTGACTAATTACAGAGTTATTGCCCTTTGTTACTTTTCCTTGTCCGGGGCATAACTTGTTAACTACTGGTTGGAATTCAAAACAACTTCATACAATTGTCAAACACAATAAGGGGAAGTGCAGTGCACAAGAACCATAACTCTATCTAAAGTAATTACAGAGTTATTGCCCTTTGTTACTTTTCCATTGCTTTCTTTTGTCCGGACCATAACTTGAAGACTAATGGTTGGAATTCAATATAACTACATACAATGGTCAAGCACATTGAGAGGAAGTGCAGTGCACAAGAACCATAACTCTATCTTGACTAATTACAGAGTTACTGCCCTTTGTTACTTTTCCTTGTCCGGGGCATAACTTGAAAATTACTGGTTGGAATTCAAAACAACTTCATACAATTGTCAATTACAGTAAGGGGAAGTGCAGTGCATAAGAACCATAACTCTATCTAAAGTAATTAAAGAGTTATTACCCTTTGTTACTTTTCCATTGCTTTCTTTTGTCCGGAGTATAACTTGAAGACTAATTGTTGGAATTCATTATAACTTCATACAATGGTCAAGCACATTGAGAGGAAGTGCAGTGCACAAGAACCATAACTCCATCTTGACTAATTACAGAGTTACTGCCCTTTGTTACTTTTCCATTGCTTTTTTTGTCCGGAGCATAACTTGAAGACTAATGGTTGGAATTCAATATAACTTCATACAATGGTCAAGCACATTGAGAGGAAGTGCAGTGCACAAGAACCGTAACTCTATCTTGACAAATTACAGAGTTATTGCCCTTTGTTACTTTTCCTTGTCCAGAGCATAACTTGAAAACTACTGTTTGGAATTCAATACAACTTCATACAGTTGTCAAGGACATTAAAAGGAAGTGCAGTGCATAAGAGCCATAACTCCATTTTGACAAAATACAGAGTTACTGCCCTTTGATACTTTTCCTTGTCTGGAGCATAACTTAAAATGTACTGCTTGAAATTCAAACCAACTTCATACAATGGTCAAGCACAAAAAGAGGAAGTGCAGTGCACAAGAACTATAACTCCATCTTCGGTATTTATAGAGTTATTGCCCTTTGTTCCTTTTCTTTGTCTTTCTGGACTTATTACAGAGTAATTCAATAACACTTCATCAATGGCCAACCACATTGAAAGGAAATGCAATATACAAGAACCACAACTATCTTTAATTGCCCACAACCATAACTCTATATTTAATTCTATTACAAGATATTCTGTTACTAGTAACATCCTCATTTCCGAAGCAGTCTTGTGGGGGTATTAATCACATTTAGTGATAGTTCTAGTTTCTGTAGCAAAGAGTTTTAGGCATTGTTATTATCCCCCTCTTGTTGTTTACAGTGATGAACTGAGGCAGGAAGCTAAAGCATTAAAGAAGGAAATTCGTGAATCAAAGAAAAGAGAGCAACAAAGAAAAATGGAAGTGAAGCCAGACATTGTAGAAGAAGGTGATAATATCTGTTTTAATTTATTTCTATGTTTGATCAACTTTTTGCTGTTATTTTTTGTTCAATTTTCACATTTATTGAGGATTAACTTAGTTTTTCTCTATTTTCATCGATTGAAAAATCTCTTTGTGTAGAATTACCATGTGCCATATATTTTGTATTCTATATGCGTACATAGAATTAAAATATTTTGTTTATTATACAATAAAGTTTGAATAAATACAGAATTTGATAGTAATTTTTGTGACTTCATGACTTCAAATATCATTGATAAGTTCAAAAGAATTGTCATCATTGTTTATGTATAGAAGCAGCACCAGCTAGTAACGATCCTTTGGCAGACTTTAAACGTGAACGCCTCAAGTACAAGGCATTGAGGAAGGAACAAGGCAAGAAAGGTGCCAATAGGGAGGAAGTCACTTTATCTATATTAAATAAGTTTAAATCAAAGTTAGAAGGAACACGTAAAGTTGTGGGTGGTTATTCTGATGATGAGGAAAAAGAAGAGGATAATGAAGATGAAGTCACTGATCTATCATGGTACCATTTATATTTTATGTCTGCTTTGTCTTTGATACAATCACATAGATATTGTATCAAAACTAATTATTTATGCTTATAAATCTGTTTTTGGCTGTATTTAATTGGCTAAATAGTTAATTGGCAAAATAGTTGTTTTATAGTTGTATAGGATGCTAAAGCATACCAGAGTACCTAAATTGAGAACATGTTTTAATTAAAGCTAGCCGCAGATGGCACAGAATCATTATTGAAGCCCACTTAATATAGAAACAGTAAACATGTACTATATAAGGGAGTGTTTATTCCTTTTGTTAAATATCAGAAACATGTTTTTGTTTAAATCTGTTTTGAAAAGATGAATATGATGTGATCGTATATAACTGACCTGGGCTTCCTTAGACTAGTGGTTAATATTTCTGACTTTGAATTGCTCGACCCTCACTGATTCTGCCAGAGACTTCAGATTAGCTACCAATCTGACTTCAGATTAGTTATCAAACTGACTTCAGATAAGCTATCAAAATAGCTTATGGAATGTTGCTACATGTTATTCTATTCAAATGCCTACTTGTGTATGAAACATTGCACGAAGGGAGGTGTTCCTCCACCAATTTTATAAAGTTGAAAACTCTACATAGATCTATAAGTTGCCATATGACCTTTACAGTGTAAATATGACTTAAAACCCTAACAAGCAAACATACATTATCAAAACTCACTGTATATTTTTTGTGTATACCTACCTTTTCATTGTCAAGGAACTTTGTTTGGTCCTGTGGTTTATTTTCACAAATGACTTATGTGGAGAAATTGGCAGTTCATTGCGGTAAAACAAATAGATATTGGTGCAGAATGTAGGACACACCTTAGAGAAGTTGTCTGCTGATGCATAACTGAAATTAATGTGAATTTTATGTCAAAAGTATTTCACTGCCACAAAATGTGTGAAATTAGTCACTAGCTAAATGTATAATTATTTCAACACAACTGCGGGGTGTATATTATTATCAGTATTTATTCACAATACCTAAAGCCAACAGGAATTCTGTGTATCTTATATTTATATGTGACATATTGATTTTCTAAGGTTTCAAGAATTATGTTTGAAAATACATGCTGTTTTTATGATGTTTTATAATGATAAAATTTGAATATTTCAGGATGAGTCATAAGCTACAGTTTGAAGATGACAGTAAGAAGAAAGTACTGGATGCCAATGTTCACGATGTAGATAGATACGAGATTCACGATCCTCGTAATCCACTGACGAAACGGCGGAGAGAGGAGAGTAAACAAAAAATGAGAGACCGACGATAACATTTGATTTTTTAGCAAAAAAAGGGATGATGTGTTAAAAATGAAATGCACACAATATTTAGAAGATCTTTGACATTAGAGAGATTTTTTGAAAAGTGCCAGCTTCATTACACAATTTAACAGAAGATGAAGAAAGTTTTAGATAACTACACAAGAAAATTACAAGAACTCAGACATTAAAATTTTTTTATATATTTTTTAGTAAACAGTTTTAAATTTCATTATTCAAGTGAAGTTAGAAAAAACAGTTTTTGTTACTGGTTGTAATTTATAGAAGGTTTGTCTTTGTTAAAGAGAAAGTGTCTCACACTATAAGTAACATGTACTGGAAAGCTGAAAATAAGATAAGTATTTAAGGATGTCAAGAAAGGGTACCAGTAACAAAGAAGTATTTTAGGACGGTAACTGTTCTAACAGACATTCAGAAAACTTAAAACATTTGATAAAAATTAAATTTAAAAACATGTTCACTTTATCATCTTTCCTGTGTCTATGGTAGAGATGGCTAAAATTTTAATTTGAAACAGCCCAAATTTAAGTACATATACATATGAGCCGCGTCATGACAAAACCAACATAGTGAGTTTGCGACCAGCATGGATCCAGACCAGCCTGCACATCCGCGCAGTCTGATCAGGATCCATGCTGTTCGCTATCAGTTTCTATACTTGTAATAGGGTTGGTAAGCGAACAGCATGGATCCTGATCAGACTGCGCGGATGCGCAGGCTGGTCTTGATCCATACTGGTTGCAAACCAATTGTGTTGGTTTTGTCCTGGTGCGGCTCATATATATAATAATGTGTATAACAATAATAACATTTGTGTTATACTCTGTTTATTATGATTAGGCAAACACTTGCACAGAGATTGTTAGAAGAATGTATTGATGAGTTTTAAGTGAAGTCTTCATTTGAACATTTAATATTAATGAAATTCTTTCAACATGTACAGTGACTTCTTGTTTTGTTATGAAATACAGATTGTAGTATTATGTTAAAATGTCACACCAAGTGTGGATTAATCTCATATTGTCTATGTAAATACCATACCATATATCACAAATCATGTCTGAATACTTGTATATGATAATTATTGTCTACCTTTTATTGTGTACTGAATTTAGATGTGGCTGTTATAAGATAGGTATGTTTGATGAGATTCTGAAAGTTACTGTGTCATTCATACTTGGTGTATTCAAAGAAGAATTGAAAAAGTTTAGGAAGAATTTTGATGATTGGATATATCTGCAAAAGATATAGATGATACAGCTTTCATTAACCTTCCATTAACATCTTTATGATCTGATATATATGATATACATGTATTTTGTAATTTTTAGCTCGACTATTCGAAGAATATGAGAGCTATTGTAGTCGCCCCGGCGTCGGCGTCAGCGTCCGCGTCGGCGTCTGCGTTGGTTAAAGTTTTTTGTAAAGTCAAATATCTCAATTATTACTTGAGATATTCAATTGAAACTTACAATACTTATTTATAGTAACAAGGTACATCAGATTGACAAGTTGGATAACTCTGCCTACAATATTGACAGAATTATGCCCCTTTTTAACTTAGAAATTTTGGTTAAAGTTTTTTGTAAAGTCAAATATCTCAATTATTACTTGAGATATTCAATTGAAACTTACAATACTTATTTATAGTAACAAGGTACATCAGATTGACAAGTTGGATAACTCTGCCTACAATATTGACAGAATTATGCCCCTTTTTAACTTAGAAATTTTGGTTAAAGTTTTTTGTAAAGTCAAATATCTCAATTATTGCTTGAGATATTCAATTGAAACTTACAATACTTATTTATAGTAACAAGGTACATCAGATTGACAAGTTGGATAACTCTGCTTACAATATTGACAGAATTATGCCCCTTTTTAACTTAGAAATTTTGGTTAAAGTTTTTTGTAAAGTCAAATATCTCTATTATTGCTTGAGATATTCAATTGAAACTTACAATACTTATTTATAGTAACAAGGTACATCAGATTGACAAGTTGGATAACTCTGCCTACAATATTGATAAAATTATGCTCCTTTGGAACTTAGAATTTTGGTTAAAGTTTTTTTGTAAAGTCAAATATCTCAATTATTGCTTGAGATATTCAATTGAAATCTAAAATACTTTTTTATAGTAACAATGTACATCAGTTTGCAAAATTGCATAACTCTGCCTGCAATATTTGCAGAATTATTTGCCCCTTTGAAACTTAGAAATTTTGGTTGAGGTTAAAGGTCTTCAAAGATATTTACTTGAAACTTTACACATGCACTTAGGGTCATAATTGGAGGGTCATAATTGTATGTCACTGACCAAGTTCCATAACTCTATCTTGCATTAAGGCTGATTCATATCCCCTTTTCTACTAAGTATCTTGGTTAATGTTTACATGCAAGTTTTACATATCTCAATAACTATTACAGATATTTATTTAAAACTTCACATATGCATTTAGGGTCATAATTGTAGGTCACTGACAAAGATCCATAATTCTATCTTGCATTTAGGCTGATTTTTCTCCCCTTTTTCAACTTAGAAATTCATGGTAAAGTTTTTGTTTGTAAGCTGTTATCTCAATAACTACTGAAGGGTTTGTGCCTTTTTTGGGACAATTTTATGCATTCATAATAATAAAGCAGTGATTTACTTGATAAAACATCTTAATAACAAGCCTTTGTACCTTGTCTGTCAAATTTATGTAATCTGATAGGTAATTAGTATTATTATACTCAATAAAACACCCTTGTGACATTACCTTCCGAATAGTCAAGCCAATACTGTATAATTAGACTCTCTGTAAGGCCTATAACATGAATTTATAAAAAAAATTTGCCCTTTTGTGAACTTAAAAAAATTAACATTATCAAGGCTCTTTTACTATCAAGCACTAAGAATAGTCGAGCGTGCTGTCCTACAGACAGCTCTTGTTATTTGAAATAGTCATAGTTTGTATAAGTGATTTTACATGTATGTCATGATGAAATTTTCTCCTGTACCGTTATTAGATTGCTTATTTTAATACAATAAGTATTGTGCCATTATTACTGACTTCACTGTTTTAACAGCTATCATCTTTTACTAATTATACATCAGAAATGAAGGAGACTATCCCATTTTGTAAATAAACTGAAAAAAAAACTGGAAAAAACCACATTGTTTACTTGATTAAACAATTCCTACATAGGTGCCTGCTAGTCATATAGGTGACTCTACATAGGTGCCTGCTAGCCATATAGGTGACTCTACATAGGTGCCTGTTAGTCATATAGGTGACTCTACATAGGTGCCTGCTAGTCATATAGGTGACTCTACATAGGTGCCTGCTAGCCATATAGGTGACTCTACATAGGTGCCTGCTAGTCATATAGGTGACTCTACGTAGGTGCCTGCTAGTCATATAGGTGACTCTACATAGGTGCCTGCTAGCCATATAGGTGACTCTACATAGGTGCCTGCTAGTCATATAGGTGACTCTACATAGGTGCCTGCTAGCCATATAGGTGACTCTACATAGGTGCCTGCTAGCCATATAGGTGACTCTACATAGGTGCCTGCTAGTCATATAGGTGACTCTACATAGGTGCCTGCTAGCCATATAGGTGACTCTACATAGGTGCCTGCTAGTCATATAGGTGACTCTACATAGGTGCCTGCTAGTCATATAGGTGACTCTAAGTAGGAGCCTGCTAGCCATATAGGTGACTCTACGTGCTAGCCATAGGTCAGTCTTTGTTCACCTGTCCTTCACTGCTACTGTCAATGTCCATGCTATTCAATTGTTTTAATGCTGATGTGTTATGGTAAAGTTGACCTTAAAATACACATTTTACATCTTTGATTTGTATAAAAGTACATCTTTGTTTTTGACCATTTGGCAATTTTCAGTAGCAGAGTTTAACTGTTTAAAGTAATCAGGGTTTTATTAAATTGTTCACATCACAATCAACTATCATAGAATAAAGTATAGTTCAGTCTGTTTTACAAATTAGGGTCACTTTATAAGCCGTGTAACATTCAGGATTCTTTCTGTACGAGTTGAAATGTGTGCTATTTTTGTGTCAGTGTTTCTTATCATCCACCAAAAATTAATTTTGTCAAAATACAGAAAATTTTATTTATGTTGATAATTTTATATACATGTACATACAAGCTGAATGTAATGAAAAAAACACACATTAAAATAAAAACATTTATTTTGATAATATCACTTGAAAATAAAAATACCAGTTGACCTGCAACACAAACAAAAACAACAAACACAACATCAAATGATAACTAATTGCTGATGAACAGAAAACAAATTTCAATCATTATGTATGGTAGTATATTTTGACCATCATTTAGCGTTTGAAACACTTAATATTTATGTTAACCCTCTTACCAACTAGTTAGTTTTCATGTTAATTAATTAAATGACATATATTATCATTTTATTAAGTAGATATATTTCCAGTGTTTATAGTTACATGACAAAAATAAATAATCAACTTCCAAGTGTCCACATCTGCCAGCGCTAGTAACTGTAAATATAATTGTGTGTTACTTACATGAAAGTATTAATGATTAACAAAAAAAAGATCAGTTATTCAACTGGTTAGTGTTGGCATATTTAGAACACTTTTGATTACTATATGCCAGGTATTTATTGGAAATATAAGGGATATATGTCTATGGTATTCCCCATTGTCTAGCTACTAATAATTTAATTTGCTATTCAGATAATTGTCTGATACTAATCTGTATTATAGATAACCAAGTAATAAAATTTCATATATTCTTTGAGTGATGATCGTTGGCAGTTGTGGGCATTGTTTAGTGTTTTTGGATATTTATTCGTCATTTAACTATTTAACAGAACATATCTTTTAATATCTTCCAATCATTTTATAATACAATATGGGTACATAATAAAATGGGTATATAACAAAAGAACCGTTGGTCCCGGTACATGAAGTTATTAGAATTAAAGTTATATCAATAGAGTAACTTTATTAGAAATAAAGAAAAGGTTAAATCTTGTACTAAACTATGAAATATCGAGAAACCAAGAACATATACCTAGTTAATCAGAAAATATCCGTTATTTAACTTATCAACACGAAAATTAACAAGTTAGTACCTAATGATAAGTAATGTAATAAGTAAGTGTTTCCTGTTGATGGCAGCAGAAATATACTACCACAATTAGGTATCTTTCATATTTCTCTAAAATATTTTTCAATTTAAATGAAACAAACGCCCTCAAAGCACTGAACTCAATGCTTCATTGGTTTGCTTTAATTCTTATAAGTCTTTAAAGGTTGTCAACTTTGATTATGACGTTAATGACGCAGATTATGACGAGTAAAATGATGAATTACACTAGTTATGAACAAATGCACCGGCACCTTATATGTAAAGATGAAAGAGTAACTCTGATTATATTCTTTGAGGATTAAAATGATATATGAAATGAATAATCCTGAGCAATATAAACATGCATGCACATACATTCGTACTAGAAGAGAATGTCAACGTTCTGTTGAGTTTTAATGATATCAGGATAGGTCTCTGATACGTTTATAAAATCCACACACGCTATTGAAATTCATATGCATAAAATACACCATTAAAAATCGACATATGTAGGTCTTATTGTATATCTAACTAACATAACAGTACAAAATACCAGCTTTAATAAACTGGAGCGTCAGGTACTTGAGGAGCTGTGTATGCAGAAGCTTCCGGAACACCTGCTATATCACCTGCTGGGAAAGAACCTTCAATCGATGGCAGAGGTTCAAACTGTGAGGCTAACGTCAATCCATTGTTTGCAGCAGGAGGTTGAGGACCATTTAAGGTCGGTAGATTACGGGTTTGTGTTGGCTCGGGAAGTTTTATTTTAGATTTTGTATTTGCCGGCCCATCTTGCCCTCCTCGAAGACAGTTGTTTGTTGTAGGACCCTGATTGCCGGTGTTGCTTGGAGGTGGGTTGTATGAGGCTGAACCAGGAACCTGTGGCGCCTGGTATGTAGCTGCCTGGGGAACAGTGGACACTGATGACTTCGCACAAACTTTGACCGCAACAACAACCCCTACAACTGCACATGTAACAACTGCAGCCGCTACTCCACCAGCAATTATAGGAACATTATTACTTGCTGTAAATAAAGCAAACCCATTATTGATATAATAACTCCGATACTTGACTGCAAATGTTCAAATTATTAGAGATAATGCTCGATTGGATCAAGGGAAATAGCACCGGAATTGTAATGTAGAGATGTCTGGTTCGAAATCTGTCCGATATAGTCTTATTGTCATTTTCCTCTCACTTCAGATTCACAAATTAGTTTTATTACATACCCGTGCCGATTTTGCGACTCCGTAAAAATGGTATTGCACGGCCGTGTATGTATTTTGACACGACGTCATTTGCGTTATACGAACATAAATGCTAGCGTTACATTATCGGCGCGTTAATGAAAATTGAATTATTTTGCACTTTTAGGTATGTTATAAATAGAATATTATATTTGTGTAGGTTCATTACTTAATTTATTAAAATCGTTGAATAAAATAATATTTTGCTCGCCAGGGGCTCGCATAATATAATTTCATTCAACTCGTTTAATAAACTCGGTATTGAACCTACACTAATTCAATATCCTCTTTGTTTGCACCTTGCGGAGAAATATGTGGTAAATCCCGTTAGTTATATAAGAAAGCCGGTAAGGGTGTCTTAAAAATGCTTAGGATATACACCTTAAATTCATTATTTGAATATAACTTTCCCATTGAAACTAACACATAAAACATCTACTCAAAATCATGGTTAGATTTGCTGATGCTTTGTACCTATAATGCGCTATGCGCTATGTTTATAAAACATCAGCATTTCAGTGTATGAAATACATTGAAACTGTACGATACGTTGAATAGATACATGAAGTATTATTTGATGTTTTAATAATGTACTCACTAGATTTGCTATCTGACTGCTGTTCATCCGTATCTCCTGGATCTGTTATAGTTGTTGTTGTGGTTGAAGAAGTAGTAGTTGAAGATGGAGTAATATTAGATGGAGTAGTTGTAGATGGCGTAATACTCTCTGTTGTCGAAGAGGGTGTTACGATCAATGTTGGAGTAACTGTTTCAGTCGGAGTTGTTGTTGTTTCTGTTGGCGTGGAATATGTATCGGTGAAAGTGATAGTACCAGTTTCTGTCGTCTGTGAGGATAACAAAGTTTTACTTACAGATGAAGTAATTGTTCCGGTTGCCGAAGAATGTGTTTCAGTATTTGTTTTTGTTGACATAGAATATGTATCGGTGACTGTTTGAGTAACAGTTTCATCCTTTGAAGTTGAAAGAGTGATACTTCTTGATGAAGTTACTGTTCCTGTTGTCGGTGAAGGTATTTCAGTTGTTGTTATAGTACCAGTTCCAGACGTCATCGAGGATAACGAAGTTTTACTTATAGATGAAGTTATTGTTCCTGTTGCCAAAGATGATTGAGTTATTGTTTTTGTTGGTGTAGAATATGTATCGGTGAATGTCTGAGTAACAGTTCCATCCCTTGAAGTTGAAAGAGTGATACTTCTTGATGAAGCTACTGTTCCTGTTGTCGGTGAAGGTATTTGAGTTGTTGTTATAGTACCAGTTCCAGACGTCATTGAGGATAACGGAGTCACTGTTCCTGTTGCCGAAGATGATCGAGCTATTGTTTTTGTTGGTGTAGAGTATGTATCGGTAAATGATGGAGTAACAGCTTCAGTCATTGAAGATGAAGGAGTTTTATTTCTTGAAGAAGTAGTGATTACTGTTGTCGTGGATGGTATATGAGATACTGTTTCTGTTGACATAGAATATGCGTCAGTGAATGTTTGAGTAACAGTTTCATCAATCTTTGAAGTTGGAAAAATATTACTTCTTGAAGTAGTGATTCCTGTTCTTGTTGCCGATGAAGGTGTTTGAGTTGTTGTTTCTTTTTGCGTAGAATATATATCGATGTATGTTATAGTACCAGTTCCAGTCGTCATAGAGGATAACGAAGTTTTACTTATAGATGAAGTAACTGTTCCCGTTTCCGAAGAAGGTGTATGAGTTATTGTTTCTGTTGGTGTAGAATATGTATTGGTGAGTGTTTGAGTAACAGTTTTATCAGTTGAAGTTGAAAGAGTTTTACTTCTGGATGAAGTTACTGTTCCTGTTGTCGGTGAAGATATTTGAGCTGTTGTTATAGTATCAGTTCCAGACGTCATTGAGGATAACGGAGTTTTACTTATAGATGAAGTTACTGTTCCTGTTCCCGAAGAAGGTGATTGAGTTATTGTTTTTGTTGGAGTAATAGATGCAGTATTTGAGGGTAAAAGAGGACTGGTAGATAAAGGTATGGTTGCTGTTGAAGATGAGACTGTTTGTTTAATTATTGGAGTAACAGTTGAAGATGAAGGAGTGTCACTTTTAGATGAAGTTACTGTTCCTGTTTCCGAAGAAGGTGTATGAATTTTTGTTTCTGTTAGCGTAGAATATGTATCGGTGAAAGTCTGAGTAACAGTTTCACCCTTTGAAGTTGAAAGAGTGTTACTTCTTGATGAAGTTACTTTTCCTGTTGTCGATTGAGGCATTTGAGTTGTTGTTTCTGTTGGCGTAGAATATGTATCGGTGAATGCTATAGTACCACTACCAGTTCCAGTCGTCTTTGAGAATAAAGATGAAGATACTGTTTCTGTTGCCAAAGAAGGAGTTTGAGTATTTGTTTCTTTTGAAATAGAATATGTATCGGTGAATGTTTGAGTAACAGTTTCAGCATTTGTAGTTGAAAGAGTGATACTTCTTGATGAAGTACTTGTTCCTGTTGTCGATGAAGGCATTTGAGTTGTTGTTTCTGTTGGCGTAGAATATGTATCGGTGAATGCTATAGTGCCACTACCAGTTCCAGTCGTCTTTGAGGATGACGAACTTTTGCTCATAGATGAAGATAATGTTTCTTTTGCCGAAGAAGGCGATAGAGTTATTGTTTTTGTTGGAGTAGAATGTGCATCGGTAAATGATGGAGTAACAGTTACAGTGTTACTTCTTGATGAAGTAGCAGTTCCTGTTGTCAAATAAGGTGTTTGAGCTATTGTTTCTGTTGGCGTAGAGTATGTATCGGTAAATGTTGGAGTAACAAGAGTAATAATTCTAGTCGTTGGAGATGAAGATATTTTCGTTGTAGTAACACTATCAGTAGTTGAAGATATGAAATTTGCGAAAGATGACGTCATATCGATTGTGTAAGATAAAGTAATTGATAAACTTGAATCTGCTAAACTTGATATAGAAGTAGAGGTTAAGATAGTTGGTGTTATTTTGAAATAAGTTGAAATAGAAGAATCAAATAAACTGCTTGAAGGAATTTCATCATCAATGGAAGAGGATACTTCTTCTGAACATGATATAGAAGAGGGGACGATCACGTCTTGGTCAAACCAGTTAACAATATATTCCGGTCGCTTATTATAGAATCTTTCATAAAAGAATTTCCATCCCTTAGTGGCGTACTGATCTGGCAATAGTTTAGTTTGTGTTGGTAAAATATAGTCCGCCGGTACTACTATAGGCTGGTCTATTGCATATGGAGGAAGAGACCTTTCGCATCCTTCGCAGTGCTTATTTGGAAATAATACAGTGCTTTCTACAATAAAGTCTTTTGTATTTGACGCATACTGGTGACTCCCACGATTATCTTTGTCCACGTACGGTGTTACAATATAATCTGTAGATAAAATACTTTGACCTTCTGTGACATAGCCAGGAAGGGACCTGCTACATGATTCACATGACACGTCCGTGCTTGAGCTCGGTTGAATTACCGTATTACTGCTCTCTGTCGTTTCTGGGAAAAATAATTCACAACATGTTTCAGTGTATTATATCAAATGCAAAGTGTTTCATTTAAGTCGAATGTATGAAACAGTTGGAGTAAGGTCTGCTATGAAATTCATTAGAATAACATTCTTTTTGAGTGGAACAACTGTATATTTTAAGTTACAAAAAACAAACATGGTTGCAACGAAACAATAACGCGATGAATTGTTAAGTAACATAATATAAATAAAAAAAGAGTACATATTTTGTAAAGTAACATTATGATGTTATTGTTTATCGGATAATTATGCTTATTGAAGTTAATAACTATTCTTATTTTTGATTTTGTTCACTTACCTTTATACCAATCGGGTTCTTCTGAAAAAGAAAATATGAATGGTTACAGTAGAGAGATAAATTAAACTATCTAGATGAAGAAAAACCGTGAATGTGACAATATAGGTATCAACTTGCAACGGTCAGATCTTGTCGTAATCTTAATCTCATTCTATGGATTTGAAAATAATTGTTGTTTGTTGTCAACCAGGAATTAAGGAATATCACCAATATTCCCTGTATATAGGGTTGTATATTTGTATGATTATCTTACATTTGGTTGAGTTAAAAAACTACCAACATGATAGATTTCATTGAAATGTCACAAATAAAAAAAAAATATTGGCCATCCATCTTTTTTTATAACAAATACATGTAGTATAATTTTACGACCTGTAAATTGGATTTTTGATTTATTATATTTAAATGATATTTATGATTATTATGGTTATTACTTGTAGAGAGGTCTCGGATGGGTTTTTTTTATAGTTTCTGACCTGACTACGCGATGTTTTCTCAACCAGTAATGAAGGAGAGTTGCAATGTGACCTTCCGACGGGGTGTGCTCCATATAGATTTCAAAACTGAGTATATGCAAAACATAATAATTATGTGAATTTCCGCTGATCTCGATGTGCACTATATATCCCGGTATGTTAATGCAAAAGTAAGCCAAAACAAAAGAGTTCTGGGTGCGTACTAAAGCATGGAAAGCTGATACTAAAATAGTAACTGTAGAGAAAACTCAGAAGTGAAGAATTACATTTCGAATTACTTCGAAAAGTTTGAATTCCATACAAAAATGTTTCAAAAGTTAAAAACATACCCCCTAAAAGACTTATTTTTACTTTCTCATTTATAATGCGCATCTATAGCAGCGGAAATTCACATATAGGTTTTTAAGGTATTAGGACCCTAATGGGCACTATAAGGAACTAAAAAATTGACATCATAGGTCAGATGTATACCTTAAAGTACACCTGTATGCAAAATTTAAACAAAGTTTACCGTACGGAAATCAAGTTATGGCCACTTTTCTGAACTCAAGCTAGGATGTTATGAGGGCCCTTTTTAAAAATTGAGGAACCTTTAAATAATCTGCACTAACTTTCTAATGAAAAATGTTTTCCCGTTAATCTTTGGTAAGAAACAAAAAGTACCATTCAGCTAACAATCCACATAAGCAAAATTATGGTTTCTACTTAAAATTTATGAAATCTGTATAAAAATGTTACCCTACCCCACCCATTTTTACCACGTGTCTGACCATTTTTCTACTTAGGGAGCCTAATTTAGAAAATTCTTAAAATTTACCCAAATGAGTGCCTGTTTTCAAAGTTTCCCTAAATTTTTAAAAAAGTATATTGGTTGATCTTGTGAGATATGAAATACTTTTACCGTCTAGTTTTGATTATATTACACTTTGAAAATATCAGGTACCATATTTATTACTAGATTTAGCATAATTTAGCCAATAAATACTTTTATATAAATTAAAAAATCAAGATAAAACACTTTTTTCTTTCCAAATGGGACATAGAGATACATAAATAATGTTAAAAGAAAAAAAGAAAGGGAAAAAAAAGTTGACCCTTCTGAGGATTGAACCCATGGCCCTCATCTTCAATGTAGTTAACAGTAGTTCTAGCCTATTTGAATACTCTTCAACGCGGAGGTAATGCATTAGGATGCTAATACCTTAACGAAGATTTGGAGATCCATATGGAGTCTGACGTCCCCACCCGTGGTAATGGGATTGCACTCACTTTAAAACTTAGTAAAACTGTATAGCATGAATATAAGTGGAGTTTATTAAGGGAGTATTGCATTTTTTTACATAGGCAAATAAGGGAAATTCAAACTTTTGCAGAGAATTTTCTCAAACTCTGCACTATAAAAGTAAAATCATAATTGAAAAATGGATGAACATATTTTTAGGTAATTTTGAAACGTTTACAGCTTACCTGTTTCGGTACCCCATGCTTGTTCCCCATGTAAGCACACCAAAAGCGCCAGATATATGTACAGTATTAATCTGTTCATAACCTTTCTGAAATATCAAAACATTTATAAGATATGGTCGGTAGCAGTGTAATAATTTCATAAGGTAAATAACTAGATTTGAATTTTATCTGAAAGAAAATGATATTGAAATTGTTATTTGACAATTGTCGAGATATTCGCTACTTTGATTATAGACAAGTTGTTATTGTTCTCGGCATCCAAAATGGATCGATTTATACATTTTCACATTACAAATGATTCATTTAAATAGTGGAAGAGAAACCCGTATATAATATTATTGATATACAATTATAATCATTAAATAATACATATCACGATCTGTTAAATTTAATCTTTTATGTTCATATTTTGTCACAAGAACAATAGAAAACAAGTTTTTTGATAAGGACAATAATATTCTCCATACTTCCTGCTTGGCACGTCTCAACTTTATACTTAGAATGCCAGAATAAAAAAACTACTGAAACGGCTGGCTACACTTAATTGGTTACATTATATGACTAAATAAAGAACTTTTAAATGTCTATATATATTAAAAAGAATTCATTTCTCAAATTTGATATATTTTGTTTACTAATTATGTTAAACACAAACATTAAAGTACAACAGACTCCCTCCATTATTTTTACATTAAACTACATTTAACAAACTATTAAAATGTATATGTTAAAGGCACATTATGTCTCAGAAACAAATGAAATTTTACTTTTTTAGAAATAGCAAACATGAGTTTTAAACGTTGAAAAATGGGTTTAGAGTATGTTAGATGCTTGTTTCCAGGAGAAAGTAGTGCTAAATGTAAAATTATTTGTCATAAAAGTAGCAAAATATAAACTAAACAGTAATTCGACTTCCATACTAAATACTAAATTACCATAAGTAAATAACTGTCAAGAAGCAACAGAAGAAAAGGATGGTTTAGGTAATGAGCCAATGCGTAACTTTTTTGTCACTATAAACTTGGACCAAAATTAAAAAGCTTTCGAAAAAGTAAATAAAAACAATTTGGGGGCTTAATGGACCTTTAACATTGAAGTGTATTTTATTTTAGATGTAATACGAGTATTAATACAACACAATTGTCAAAACATGATAGAGATGATGTTCATTAGAAAAGAACTGTGAAGATAATGTTTTATTGGTTACAATTTGATTTTGTTCACATAATAAGTAGATCTCTTTATAAAATACCTTTATATCAAGGTAAACGATGTGTAAGAGTGACAATGCCTAACGCCCCCTACTGTATTTAAGTCAAGGGAAATGATACAAGAAGGATATGCCTAACGTCCTTTTTAAGTTAAGGGAAATATTATAACAGTGATATGCGCAATATTCTGTTCTAGAGTCAAGGGAAATGATGTAAAAGTGATATGAATAAGTTATATAAAGTACTGTTGACATGTCAAGGGAAAATCTAATTAGTAGGATATGCATAACGCAATATTTTTAAGTCAATGGGGAATTGATATAGATAATATGCGTAATGTACTGTTGCTATATCAAGGGAAATGATGTGCATAAGCTTTTATGTCAATGGAAATGATATAAGTGTAATGTGGACAACGTTTTTTAAGTCAAGGGAATTGATGAAAGTGTGATATGCATAACGTTCTGTCCCTAAGCCAAGGGAGATGATGTAAGTAATGTGCTCAACGTACTGTTCTGAAGTATGAGAAATAATATAAAAGCGACACTGCTTAGCATACTATATTTAAGTCAAGGGAAATGGATGCACAAAATATTGTTCTAAATGAAAAGGAAATGATATGAGTAGTATGCGTCTAGTACTGTATCTAAATTAATAGAAATGATATAAGTATGAGTATAACATACAGTTCTTAAGTCAAGGAAAATGATTTATAAGTAATATACATAACGTACTGTATTTTAGTCAAGGGAAATGTTATACACTAAAAAGTGATATGCATATCATACTGAAGTTACACAAAAGGAAATGATATAAGAGTGGGGTGCACAATATACTGTTCTTCAGTCAAGGGAATGGATAAAAGAATGATATGACTAAATTACATGACGTACTTTTGGAAAGAATATGAAAAGTGATATCAGTTACATCATCTGACATGCATAACGCAATGTTCTTTAACCAAAAGGAATGATAAAAGCGACGTAAGCCTAATGTTTTGTTCTAAGTCAATTGGAATTAGGGGTGATATGATATAATATTGATTCACGTAGCTTATTGCTCCTAAATCAAGAAAATGTAAAGTAAGTACGGTGTACGTGTACTCTTAATTCAAGAGACATGATATAAGAGCGATGTATATTTAAGATGGTTCTTCAGCCTGTAGAAATGAAATAAGTGAAACGTAGGGTTGTTTAGTCAGTAGTAAAGCTGTTATATTGTTGTTTCTGATTAACAGAGTAGTGTTTACTTCATCCATAGCTAATTATGTTTTTGTGAGTTTTTCTTCTACTAACTAGAACCTAGTCTTTCTAGCCCATGCAAAATAATAATAATAATAATAATAATAATAATGATAATAATAATTATAATAATAATAATAATAATAATTTTATAATAGTGATACACAAAGCATGACTATGCGTGAAATTACAGAACTATATTACAAGTCTCTAGTGAAATACAGCTACTTAAAATATGTCTTTTTTCTTAAAATATAATGATCTAACCTCATTATGAGAGTGTGAGTAAACAGAAACTTAGTTTTATTTTTAAGTGGATGTTTCAATACAAATACCTAAACTATAAAAAAAATAAATAAAAAAATCTAAGATAAATAATAAAAAAGATGAAAAAGAATACATTTGTACAATTGACAACAATGTAGACCACAACGAAATTCTGAGTCTACCAACAACCTGTTAAACTGAGCCTGCAATTACATGAAAATAATATCTAAATGCACATGTTCTTTACAAAAGTTATTAAATACAAATATAACAACATATTTGTTAACTTAATTTTTATGAATCAAAATAAAACTTAGTAACACAACATGACATTAACTGCTAATAATAACAGCTCCTTCCACGGGTCCCTAAAAAAACATTCCATAAGAGAGGACGCCGCTCACCGGCGTCGCCAGTAAGGAAGACCTCAACAGCTTCAATATAATACTGAATAATTTACTCTTTTGCAACACAAATATTTCTATTATTATTATCCATTTTTCTATATCTATATTCCCGATTTCTCAGAATACCTATAACGTTTTAGAAAAAAGAAATCGGTTCTTAAGTCAAGGGAAATAAGACTACTAATAAAGATGATAAAAGCTTCATGAACACACCGTTCTGTTTTTAATTAATAAAAGGGCGAAATACATAGCGTATTGTTCTATTACAATATTGAGATGCGTTCACTTTTTTATGTACGTAATGTATAGTTCATTAAAATGGAAATGTTGTAACTCTATTAAAGATTGACACATAACTGTATACGAAATGTAATGGCCTAACGTCTTGTAAAAATGATATTTATGAATATAAAAAGGACGTGTATAAAATAATGACATACAGAATGTTAAGTTATAAAATGTTTTTAAATAAATAATAGGATGACATTATTAACTAATTACTAATAACCATTTTGAAAATATTCTATATGACATATGAGTACAATACTTATTTTTCATATTATATTAATATATCGTTTTTGTAGATCTTGTGTCACTGTAAATTAAGTGCTGTACACGTAATATATACGAGTTATATTTACTTCTTACATTTAAAGTACGAATAATAAGACAGTATTATTTATGTAATACTTACAAATTTTCTTCAAAATCTTATACTGATATTAAAGTTATATATCGGTACTCCTTTTATTTCACCATTTTGTAACGTTTCACATATTTTTTTCTTAAATAATTAAAATGAACGCAATGTCATAAAGCCTTTCTTTTATTAATGTTATAATTTTAGACTTATGACGTTAATCAAATATTAGGTGTCAGGTTGTGTTACATTGGCGGATACGGTATAAAACTTTCAATAACTTTTATTGTTACATTTGACCGATTCTTTTGTTTCTCTCTAACAAAATAAGAAGTCAAATAACTCTTTATGACTGTCGAATCTGAAGCTACATTTATTTCCCCTTTATAGAAATAAATTTAGTATAGACTTCCTGCTATATGGTTGATCCTATAGAAGGGACTGCTTATTTGTAACAATTTTCATCAAGTGAACCAATAATTGTAATTCAATTTCCTTTCCATCTGTCACAGATAAATCAGCATTGTTAAATAATTTGCTGATCATAACATTCAGAATTTAACGAAATTTTAATGATCACAATTTATCCTTACATTTCACTTTAACTTTGATACTTAAATTTGCTCTGTTCTGTTCTTAATGACTGACCTTGAATTTGACGTCTTATGACATAATTTAATTTTACACTTTATGGCTTATTCTAACTTTAATACTTAATGACTTACCTTAAATTTAACACTTTTTAACTTGCTTTAACTTTTATACTAATATTATATGGCTTACTTTGATTTTAATATTTAGTTGCTTACTTTAACTTAGACACTTTATTACTTAACTTAAAATTAAAACTTACTGGTTTATTTAACTTAAACACTTCATAATTGACATTAACTTTAACAATTCATGGCTTACTTTAATTTTGATATTAAGTTACTTATTTTACCTTATAGACACTTCATTGCTTACTATAAACGTGTCTGGCTTGCTTTAACTTTAGCACTCTATGATTAACGTTTCGTTAAACTTTAACTTTGGCATATTATTGCTTACTTTAACTTTGACACTTGATGACCCATTTTACAAAGCGCTGGTAGTGATTATTCTATAAAATTACCAGTATTGAACTAAGATTATTACTGTTTCTATTAAAGTCTGGCGGTCAAACTTTGTACTGTTGGCGGTTCTGTCTATTAAAGTTAATGTAAGTAATTGAACGAAAGATATGTCAAAGTTAAAGTTAGCACCAAAGTATCTAAGTTTAAGTAAATTTTAAAATGAAGTAAGCAATGATCGAAGTGTCAAGGCTAATATAATTTATTATGTGTCAAAGTAAAAGACACCTGTGAAGTTTCAAATAAGTCAGCCATGAAGTGTCGGATGTAATGGGAGATATAAAATGTCAAAGTGAAAGTAAGTAATTAAACTAAAGTAAGCCATTCAGCATAAAAGTTAAAGGGAGACACAGGCATTTTCATTTCTTCGTTTTGAATTTTTCATTCATTATTTTGTAAATGTCCTCAAAATAGATACACTAGGCAGTCACAGGAACAAATCTTTTCTCCTTATAAAGAATAAAATGGTGGCTTCCGCGGTTGAGATTTCACAATAGTTGTCACAGTGAACTCAGGAAACGTTAGAGAACATGTCAACTTAATGACTTAGACTTGTTTTGATCATACAATATCCACAATATCTGTTATTGTAACTTTCAGATTTAATTCAAGTCACATGACTTGTTTTAAAATTGCTCGTTGATTCTGTCGGCGTCGAAATTTCGTACAGCATATATAGATGTATTTACGCTTAAACCCCAAAATATATAGAACTGATACAGACATTCATGCTGGGACTTTAAAAATGTCATTTTAGCGTGATTTGAGTACATAAGATCATTTAAAGATTTTGGTCTTTGGTCATTAATTTGCCTGAAAATCCCTTTAAAGTAAACAATGAAGTTACAAAGTTAAAGTTAGCCATGAATTTTCAAAATCAAAGTAGGTCTTTAAATGTCAAAGTTACAGTAAATCATTGAATTTTAAATTTGAGGTACGCCATGAAGTGGCAAAGTCAAATTAACCCATGATGAAGTCAAATTAACCCATGATGTGGCAAAGTTTAAGTAAGTAATGAAGTGTTCTCGATATGTCGCATGAGATCAATTTGTGGCGGACAAAATTGTAGCATTAGTAATGAAAAATCAAAGGCAAAAAATATCACTGCCTTAAATTTTACATTAAATATTCATCCGCACTTTAATTTACCTTTTTAACCTTCATCTAATGTTCACGATTTAAGAAATAATCAATAAAAAATTGATGTTAATGAAACAGATTACAGGTTAGATTAAACGTTAGATGTATACCCTAGCGACACGTTCACTAATTTATTTCTGACATGGAACCGATATATTATCAGGTACTTTTTATTTTAAAGGGCAATTTCTCCCTGTATGTGACGATTACATCATTCTACATGGGGCAGACGACAATGCCCTGGTGTGGATACTATGGTCGGTGATTTCTGCCAGGCGACGACACGAGATCTTCTTCTGTTGATAGTGTCGGCTGGTAGAAATCTTCGTATCGGTGCCCTACAGTTGTTTTTTTCTTTCTATTTTTAGTTGCAGTAACCTGGACCCTGGGGCGGGGCAAAAGCAAAGAAGCTTGCTATATACCAAGTTTGATTAAGATAAGTCAGTTTCAGTTTCAGTTTTTATTAAACCAAGTCATATAATATGCAACTGGTTATAACAAACAAACAAACAGAAAAATAACGGTAAAAAATCACTTATATCACAATAAAAGAATACAATTATGACTAGCTAAATAAAAAAGATCATATTGTTCATTTGAATAACTGAACTCAATACAACATGTATTTTACATTATGGGAATGGAGAATGAGAAGTATAAATAATCTTAATTTTAACATAATGTTTTTACAAAATAAAAATAGTTTTAGCAGATTTTTTTATCACAATTATTCATTAATCTGTCAAGTTTAAAAATATTAGGACGAATATAAAAACTGGGAAGAAGAGATTTACGTCTTATATCATTAAAGTACGAACATTCAAATAAGTAGTGAAATTCATCACCAATAGTTTGATACGGATATAGGGAACAAAGCCTATTATTATGATCAATTGCCAAATGTCCGCCTTTTTCAATTGGTAATAGGTGATTTGGTGTTCTAAATTTACATAGATATTTGCCTATATCAAATGGAAGTAGATCTAGATATTTTCAAAACAATGAGTATTTTATATGTACGATACACTATAAGCACTTAGAAGATGTATCAATAGTACTATGCCAGTCTTGTAAAAATTGATCATGTAGTCTAAGCTTCACAATATTTTTTAAGTGATTAATATTATCTACTTTCTGTAAATGAAAATAATCTGACATACCAAGATTACTAATTGTTTCTTTCACAAAATTTATCCATTTAGAATTAAGTCAAATTGAACTTTAGTGTAGCGCCATTTAAGATGACGGACAGTAACATAGAGATTCTTTTCCTATATACGAATATAATCTGTTTTCCACAACAAATGATTTAAGGAGCAATTGTTTTGAGAAATATCACACAAAACAGTTTTCCACTGTCTTCCTCCATGTCATCTTTGGTCTTCCTCGTGGTCTTTTCCCCTGTGGTGTCCATCTATAAAACATAATGCTTATATCTCTAGAAAACATAATGCTTATATCTCTAGAAAACATTTTGCTTATATCTCTAGAAAACATAATTCTGATATCTCTAGAAACATAATGCTTATATCTCTATAAAACATAATGCTGATACATTTTACCACTATAAAACATAATGCTTATATCTCTAGAAAACATATCGCTGATATCTCTAGAAATCAAAATGCTTTTATATCTAGAAAACATAATACCTATCTCTCTAGAAAACATAATGCTTATATCTCTAGAAATCATAATGCTTTTATATCTAGAAAACATAATGCTTACATCTCTAGAAAACATACGGCTAATATCTCTAGAAAATATAACGCTGGTATTTCTAAAAAACATACTGTTTATATCACTAGAAAAAATAATGCTTATATCTCTAGAAAACAAAATGCTGATATCTCTAGAAAATATAATGCTGATATCTCTAGAAAACATAATGATCATAATTTGTATCTCTAGAAAACAGAATGCTGATATCTCTAGAAAAGATAATTCTGACATAATGATTATACCTCTAGAAAACATAATGCTTATATCTCTAAAAAACATAATTCTGACATCTCTAGAAAACAAAATGCTTATATATTTAGAAAACATAATTCTGATATCTCTAGAAAATATAATTCTGACATCTCTAGAAAACATAAAACTTATATCTTTAGAAAACATAACGCTTATATCTTTAGAAAACATAATGATTATACCTCTAGAAAACATCATTCTGACATCTCTAAAAACATAATGCTTATAAATATCTTTAGAAAACATAATGCTTATATCTTTAGAAAATATAATGATTATACCTCTAGAAAACATAATGCTTATATCTTTAGAAAACATAATGATTATACCTCTAGAAAACAAAATTCTGACATCTCTAGAAAACATAATGCTTATATCTTTAGAAAACATAATGCTTATATCTTAAGAAAATATAATGATTATACTTCTAGAAAAATAATGCTTATACCTCTAAAAAACACAATGCTGACATCGCTAGAAAACACAATGCTCATAATTTGTATCTCTGGAAAACATTATGCTGATATGTCTAGAAAACAAAATGCTTATATCTCAAGAAAACATAATGCTGATATCTCTAGATAACATAATGTTTATATCTCTAGAAAACATAACAACTTACACTCAAACACGTTTTTTTCTTGTGATTTTTAGCTTGCAACATTCGAATGAGATACAGTACGTTGATGAATTGCTTTTAAACTTTTTGTCTTTGAAGAATAAAATCGCCAAGGGAAAATGTTCTTTACTTTTATCATATTGTACATCTTTTCACCATGCGATATGTTAACATTTTTTTGCTAGCAAGCCTGTAAAAACTTATAGCTGAAACTCAATGTTTCTTTATAGACAAGTACGTACTTTTAAAAGATATAATGCCGTTATAGAAAAGAGAAAAGAGAAAGGGAAAATACTGTTTTCAAGAATAAAAGAAGTTCACACTCCTAACAGTTACAGAGACATAGCATTTAAATTGTAAAAAA